GTTGGTCTGATTAGTGTTTTCAAACCTCACTCTTATGTAATTGAAACCTTTTCATCACGGAAGCTACGCTACCCGAAATAGTTTCAAGAAATAATATGCTTTGTAGATGCCATCATATTAAACTTTCTCGATTATTATTCTCTTTGTTTTTGTATGGAGCCCGCCATAAAGCACAAATAGTCTTTCTTTCATTTTTTAGAATTTTAACGAAAAGTTTCTGGTACTGTTCATTTTAACGAAAAATCACATTTTTACACTAAAAAGTCAATCATGGTATTATTCACTTTACTTTTTATTTTGTTCTTATCGTTAAAACTCAAAGTTTTCGAACCTATTTTTATTTTTTATTTTTTTAATTTCTGTCATGGTTGTTTTGTTTTATTAAACGCAGCCTGCGGTAGTAGATTACTATGGCTCGGTTTTCCTAACAATTTACTCTCTAACATGATTAGACATCACACCTAGTTGTACATACATCAGAAAATCTTGTGTTCAAATCACAAGCATGAGTTATACAACTCGTTTTTTTTTAAATACTTTTGAAATAACTAAAAACGTTTTTTATGATAATATTTTTAGAAATAATTCTTAATAAAAAAAGGAGGTGAATTATGGAAAAACATTTAAAGTGCATCATGCAAAAAACACATAACTGATGATTTTTTCAAAAAATACTTCAACTATTTTTAGAATCCAAAAACATTTTTTCAATTATTTGATAAAAACTTCCAAACGTTGTGCACCACGAAACAAAAAAGGGATTAAAAAAGAATTCGAGTATTATATTGTTGATCGTCATTGTCATAAGCAGCAATAATTTAAGGACATGGCCCTCTCCGGATCCATGTATCCTAATTCATCAAATTCATGTACCCGGACCATTGAAATTTGATCTAACGGTTAAAGTTATTATAACTTTTAAAGTAGGCCTATATTTGTAACTGTTGGATTAAATTTCAATGGTCATGATACATAAGATTTGATGAATTAGGATACATGGATCCGGAGATGACCCATGTCCACAATTTAACTCATGCGTGATCTCTGACGTGGTGAGAGACAAAACTGCATGCGCCCATGTTTGTTGTTAATTAATTACTTTTTGTTAGAAAACTAGTAACACTTCTTAAACATTATAAGTAATTAATGGTAATTTGTCTATGCTGCAGCTGAAAAAGAAGCATGCGCCGCGCATGCATGTGTACCATGACAGGTTGATGATCGAAGGCAGGTTGTCTGCCTTTCTGTTTGGATGTTTTTTTCCGTTCCTTTTTATTTGTGCGGTCACGATTAAGACACATCAACATTTTATATTTCTATTGCTTTTTGTCTATCTCTATAAAAAAAAATTAATATAAAATATTGACGTCGGTTAACCGTAACCGCACAAAATAGAAAGGAATGAAAAGGACACTCAAACAGGGCAGACAATCTGCCTCCTTTGATGAACACCGTTCACTTAATACTAATTAAGATACACTAATTAAGGTTAAGTGTGATGAGCCACGACGGCACTGTTAGAATATGATTATCCCTAAAGTATGCGACAAAAGATTCTCAAGATCCAATTACTTGTTCTCTCAATGTCTTTCAAGACGATCTTATTCTCCTCCCACTCAAGTAGGATTATCTGTGTGATTAAAACCCTACCCCTCCTAAATAAAATAATTCATAAGATTATGAAACCTTACCTGCAACCCAAATATTAAAACAAACAACTGCTTTTGGAACCGATTCCATCTTTTAAATAAATTAGGAGCTTTTGGATTTAGGTCCAAAAATAGTTTATTTTTATACTAATTATATTCTTTACATATAAAAATATTTAAATTCCTTATCTTTTGCATTATTACTCAGCTTTTGAATTTAAAACATTTAAAGCCAAAATGGTCTTTGAGGTTGATATAACTATTCATTTTGGTCTCTGAGATTTGAAATCGATAGAAGTGATCCTGAGTTTGTTCACCATTAATCATTTTGGTCATTCCATAAAAATTCTCTATTAGATAATAATAAAATGACAAAAATTCATCAATTCTTCTCAAATTTTTTTGGCCTATTGTTTATTAAATTGAGATTATTTTTGTTATTTTGATCTTATTTAATGGAATTTTTCACAAAATGACCAAAATGATTTATAGTGGACAAACCAATGTTTAAAATATCAGTATATGTGGAAATATCGGTATGCAAATTTGTGGAAATATCGATGGATATATCAAATATCGATATCAGTTGCTTTCGGTGGAAATAATGGAAATTTAAAATGAAATTTTAGGGATTGTCAAGTATTAGTTTGGATTCAAATCACACGGATCAAAGTGAAAAGTTATTTCAATCTCAGAACCCATATTTTAGCTAAAAAGGCATATTTACATACTCAAACTAAGTATTTATATAGGATTTTTTTAAGACAGAATTTTAAGGTTTAAATAGCGCATGTATAATACTTACATCACAGGGCAAACACGAAAAACTAATTAAAAAATACACGTATAAGACTATTGCTTAGTCAAATATCACACAAAAATAATGTGATATGCCAAGGATGATGGATGAGGAAGAAGATGATACGTGAGGAAAAAATACACACACAACAAACAAACAAACAAACAAACAAAAAAAAAAAAAAGATTTATGAGAAAATAATTCTGATTTAAGAAACAAATGATGAATATCCAATTAAGAAAAGAAAAATAAAGATGGAAGAATTAGAAAAGAGAAAGGAAGAGGAAGAACACGAAGAATAAAATGAGGGAAAAAGATAAGGAGTTGATGAAGGCGAGAGAGTCAGATAAGAAAAGAAAATGGAGAAGACGATCTCCAAATCAATTGGAGAAATTATAGAAAAAGTTTAAAACTATTACAATTAATTGAAGAGATAATATTTGTTGTGGACTATGAATTTTTTAAGGTCATAATAAGATGGATCGGAAAACGCCTCTCGAGTTTAGTCATTGACTAGGCAGGCCCGATTGGGTTGAGCCATACAAAGTAACCAACGGTGCCACCTCACCCAGCTGGACTCTAGAATTGTAAGCAATGCCCGCATGTTTTGTTGAGAATGACCATGCTTGCTGTTCCATTTCCTATTGTCTTGGAGATTCTTACAATCCAAGAATTGGCTTAAGTCTCAAGTAGTCACAATCCTACAAAGAAAGAATATCTATTGTTAGATATCCGATAGGATTCTTCGTGTTTACATGGATCCATTATCCTAAAAGAACTCTCCTCTTTTTTCTTTTTTTTGAAGGAAGGTACGATATTTATTGAACAAATCAGAACACGTACAAACTGAGGATGGTGTGCACAATGGGCTTCAATAAAATCTTGTCGGCTTTCAACCCGGTCGAAGGAAAAAAGTGTCTTGCACAAACAAAAAGACCCATCCTCAAATGACAATGCATTGGTAAATTACGAAACATCTTTGAATAAAATATCCCTAAACAAATCAGAAGGTTCTTCAAACCACATGAATTTTTTATTACTACCAATTTCCACTCAAGCAAGGCGATGTGCTGCCAAATTACTTTTCCGCTGAACGAGGTTTAACAACGGCTGAGGCAAAAATTTAAGTAAATAGCGGAGGTCGTTGATAATAGAACCAAAAGGTGAACAATCATCATCCTGACCCTTCATAGCAGCCAAAACCATAATGGAGTCTCATTCGAATACTACATTCTGACCCACTGGGCAAAAAGCCTGGGCCAACAAAACAGCTTGACAGGCAGCAAAAAGCTCAGCGTGGAAGGCAGAGCTTGTCCTTCCAATGGTACCAGCAGCAGCAGCGATGAACTCCCCCATGTGATCACAGAGAACAACACCAAAGAGACCTCGTAAACCTTGTTGAATCCATGCCCCATCAAAGTTACATTTCACCCAGTCTACATTAGGTTTTCTCCACTTCTGGGAGGTACGGTTTTTCTTCCTCGCACCAGATTTATGCCATTTTTGATACTCATGCAGCCAACTCTCTGCTCAAAACACCATCTCATGTGGCGCCAAATAGGACCCATTCTAAAGAGCATCATTTCTATTCTTCCACAACATCCATAAGGTCATCAAACAGAGGTCAAAGACCGAAGATGGAAAATACATAGCTATTTGTAATAACCATTGCAAAAATTGCTGAGTGTTGCCATCCTCAAACCTTAGCCCCAAACATCCAAACCAAACCGCCTGCGCCATGCTGCAATCTTTAGTACATGTTCTATCGATTCGCCGTATGAACCACAAAAGCCACATAAAGTATCCACAGCAACTCGCCTCTTTGTAAGATTCGATGTTGTGGGAAGAGCGTCCAAATATGCACGCCAAACACAAATCTTGACCTTCCTGGGAACACATGCATTCCATAATTTCTTTCATAACTTTTCCCTTCCATCATCAGACGAAGAAAAAGAAGCATTTGCGCCATTCCCTGAAGAATCCTCTAAATACACCTATCTAGGGTTCATGAAGGTACTATAATATCGTGCACTCTACATACGTATCGCTTTTGCTCTATGGCCCATAACTTGAGTACTAAAACTTTTATTGACTTGACCGTCAAAGATCGTTTGGCTAGTACCACACAGGTGCCTAGGAATTTATGGTTTACTTTTCTCTTTTGCAAGTGGATGTTCTTGCACTCTTTCATTCATGATGGTGCGCGAATTTAATTCCAACATTTATTAAGGAAGATAATCCTACAATTGTGCAATAATATTAAATTACTTAATTACTTACTTAAGGGGTAAATTAGGAATAAAAGTAACAATAAGATGACGTGAAATCACAATCATTGGACATGTTTCAATTAGGTGGATTATTCCTAATGAGGTTCAAAAGAATGGACCTACTCCTAGTTTACTCAAGAAAGTAAATATTTTAGCCCTTGTGTCGATAGTTTTTTTTTTAGTTTGTCTTTATTATTTTTTTTCTTATCTATAGGCGTTTTATGTAATATTTTTTATTCATAATTTTTAATATGAGTAATATAATTGTATACAATGACAAAAATGGACATGATATTGGGAGTAGTGGTGGTGTCAATGGTAGTGGTAATTGGGGTTGTAGAGGTAGCAGTTTGTAGCAGAAATGGTGGTGATGTAAGGTCGGTGATTGCATATGTAGGTGGTGGCGATGATAGCCGTTACGGTGGTGGTGGTAATGGAAGCAACAATGATGGTGGCTGTGGTGATGGAAGCAACAATGATGAGGGTATGGCAGTGGTGCCAATAGTTGAGTTTGGTGGTTAAGGTGCAAGATAACAATGGTGAAAGGGGTGGCGGCATCAACGATGGCGACGATTGTGATTATGGTGGCAGCGATGACAACTGTGGTTGTGGTGACGACGGCGATGGTGGTGGCAACGATGGTGGTTGCAATGGTAGTGGTGGAGGCTGTTGTGGTGACAATGATTATGGTGGTGGTAACAACGATAGTGGTAGTAATAGTTGTGGTGGTATAAGGTTAGCAATTGTAGTGGTAGGTAGTGGCGGTCATTTTATCCTCCAAGGGATAATTTTTTTTTTTGTTTTTTTTAACTAATGAAGGTATTACAAAAATTAAAAAAGTTCATTAGAGGTTCAACTTTGTTTTTATGAAAACAACTTTTACAAGCAACCTACATTTTGTTTTTGCAAAGTTACTATTTAGAGACTATTTTTTTAAAATAAATAGGATATTTTAGTTTACCGAACACTTTATGTTGCTTAATTTTAAGGTGAAAAAAACAATATCAGCAGCCTAAAGACCTTAAGGACCCGGATTATAACCCTAATCTTGTAACTTTTCTTTATAATAATTACTATAAAATGAAGGAAGAAATTGTGGTGTGCGTCCGCAACAAAATGGACAGAGAAAGTGTAATTAGAACAGGATACGGGTGCGGTTTGACTTTTGTAATCTAGAGGTTTCTTATCACTTATAAGATGGATGATGGATCCACATGCGTATCACATAAGTCGAAACAAGCTCCACGTATTACGTATATACTTCACAATTTCACATGGCTTTTCAACGATGATTTTCTCCGTTCTGTTGGGCTGCAAGTCTGCTTATATAATGTGAACATGACACAATTTCCATTTGTTGAATACACTAATTAATTAAATTTAAATTAGAGACTATGGAGTATTATCCGTCAGAATGTTTTATTAACTTTTAAATTATTTTTTCCACAATTAACATTTAAATTTAACACATCTATACTTAGTCGATACTTAGTAGTACGGTTTAGTGGTATTCTTCTTTATTTTTAAGTGTGGCCTTAGTTTTGAATCTCATGAATAACGAGTTTGTTACCAATAGGTTAAAATCTTGTGAATGACGAGTTCGATATTAATTTATTCTGTCACCCCATCAGTGTATATATAACGTGGTAGAAGAAAAAAAACTTCTTTATCTAGTTATTATTCAACAAAAAGACCACACGTGTAAAATAAAATAATTTAAATACCAAAATATAAGTGGTTGGTCCAATTCGATTTTGGGCAGTGTGCAAAAGCTCAAAACCGTAACCAAAGTGAGCAATTGCCTTTTTGTCAAATAGATAGCCTTTTGGGCTTTCGCAAGATTAAAGCCGAGCTTTGCCATCACATGTTTAATTCATAAAAGTTCACAAATACCACGAGGTAAACTTTGATGCTCAACTTCAATACTTACTTCATATACCTCAATATCCAATCAAAGTCATTTATGTGTCTCACACAATGTGCTCCTTTCAGGGATATAAAATTTCTTCTTGATGGCTTCCTCTTGTTCAAATTGATTTTAAAGACAGTTATTGGTTTTAATATGCTTTGTGCACGGTTGAGACGTAAGTTGAGATTTCACTTGAAAATTGATTTGCCATTAAAACATTAGTCTAACTCTTTATAAGTTCATGCAAAGTTATTTAATTTTTTGATATTGGATAACACACAACTATCTTATTGATAGTATGAAAGAATTGACAACATCGACCTCACAAATCCACCACATTAATTTTTGTGATTACTAAAAGCATCAACAATATATCTTACACCACAAAATTAAATTTCTGTCCTAAAATGATACAAAACAAAATTGGGGACAAATGCCCCTTGACACAAGCGTAAGGGCAACAATTTTTTTGTTTCTTGTATGCACAATTTCTTATTTCTTTTTCTTTTTTCTGTCATTTTCCCTCAATATTGAGTGGGATATATACTTGTAGAAAGGTGAAAGTAGATTTCGGATGCGTTTTGAAAGTGTTTTTAAATGATTGAAAATATTTTTACATAAAATATTTTGGGTTTCAAAAACACTTGAAATGCTTCTTACATGAAACACTTGATGTGTTTTTCTATGATTAATTTGCATTTTTATTAATGATTAGTATAACAACTTTTTCTTTAAAAGCGTGTTCAATAATTTAAAAACACTTCCCGTTCGAGTTTCTAAAAGACTAGGGGCTTATTTGGAAGTGTCTTTAAAATGACTGAAAACGCTTTTAGTAAAAATGTTTTTTAAACCAATTCTTAATAAAAATCCAAGTGAATCTTGAAAACACATATCTGATACTTTTTCTAAAAAGCACTTAAAGTGCTTTTTAAATTCAAAATCAATTTCACCAAAAGCGTTTTTAGTCATTTTAAAAGTATTTCCAAATGAACTCTAGATAAACAATCATTTTTGAACCGATAATTTAAAGGCTATTCACCATCATATTTTACATAAAAAAAAAAAAAAAAAAAAAACTATCAAACACAAATTTATTAACTTTTTTCATTTTAAATTTTTGTATCATACATGTTTTTCATTGTTTTATTTCAAAAAATAATCTTGTATTAAATTATCAGACATATTGTCATATCATAATAATGAAAAATTATAATTATCTTAGTTTTGCTGTGACATCCCACATCGTCTAGGGGAGTGATCCTTATATGTATATTCTCATCCCTACCTAGCACGAGGCCTTTTGGGAGCTCACTAGTTTCGGGTTCTGTAGGAACTCCGAAGTTAAACGAGAAGGGGGCTAGAGCAATCCTAGGATGGGTGATCCATCAGGACGTTCTCATGTGAGTTTCCAGAAACAAAACCGTGAGGGCATAGTCGGGGCCCAAAGCAGACAATATTGTGCTACGGTGGTGGAGTGGGTCTGGGAAGTGGTCCCCCCCGGTCCGGGATGTGACAATTGCAATTATTATTTTGTTATACAAATATTTTTTTTTAAATTGTTTTATAAAATGTTACCAAATAATGTGGCACTTTAAACTTTTGTCAAATTTTATTTTCCACCTGATATGTCAAACTTAAAATATTATTTATTACATTATTTACTTTTCATAATTGTGACAGCCCGTTTCCAAACTTTTCGTACCGTAGGGGTGAAATGACGGTTTTGGCCCTAGTATTTTTGTTTTGTTGTGTGGTTATTTTGGGGTTTTGGTTGGCTGTTTTGGACCACACACACACACACCCACACTCACCCTCATCCTTTCCCTGTCCCGTATCCCTGTCTCTTTCTCTCTTTCTCTCTTTTCTTCACCATACGTACGGACAAGACCCATTGTGCTCGAAAACTTCACGGATCGAGGAAGAAAACTACATATTTATGCTCGTGAGGTCCTTAAGAGTTCAACCATACCCATTTCAGGTAAGGGAACCTTCATTTTCATGTCGAACCCGAGATGCTCAATTTGGGGGTACTGTTCATGCACACGTAAATTCATGTGTTTTTGGAAATTTCAAGCTTGTAGGAAACTTGGTGAGGTCCTTAGGAGGCTCGGGGTGGTTCATTTGAAGGTTTTGGACGTCGGGATCCTGAGTTGCAGGTTTGGCCGGTTTTGGTGGAGTTTTCCCAGCGAGATTCCGTTGGTTTTAATGCTTGAAAGTGGTAAGGATTGGTTCCTCTAGTTGTAAGCTTTATTTTGGTACCAATTTTGTGAAATTTGGGTGAAAAACAAGTGAGATACGAAGTTTGGAAGTTTTCTCGATTTTCAGGCGACGGCGATGGCGACGGAGTTTGGCCAGAGAAGACGACGGAATATTCCATCAGTTTGGACAGAACATTCCTAACGGCGTTAACGGAATCTGTCAGACTTAACGGAATATTCCTGACAACGTTAATTGACGCCGTCAGTGTGCCAGGCACATGCCTGCGCGTGGGCAGCGCGTGTGGCCGTGCCTTGGCCGGCGCATGGGAGCGCGTGCGGTGTCAGAAAATTATTTTAAAAATATGGGGATGTTCATGAGGTTGAGTAGATCACGTTGGTGTATTCATACACCCCATTTGAGTATTGTATGAGAAGTTATTTCGTAATGTTGGTTATGTATTTTAAATTAACGTTTTTATAGTTGTTTTGCATATAGGTGAGACCTATCCCAAGGACGAGCGCAATCACTCGAGGCAAGGGGGTTATGACCCTTCTACATACCAGTGAGCGGGCTTTTGGTTACCTATATACTTGTGTTTTTTCCAGAAAGTGAAATGAAGCGTCTATATGTTTTATATGCCATGCATTATGGTTGCCCATTTAATTATGCATTATTAGTTGCATATATATATATATATATATATATATATGCTTGGTGTTGCGGACACACAAGTAAGTGTCAGGTAAGTTATGGTTTATATTTATGTTTAGTAGTGATTTGCGATGCCTAGAGAGCTCATAACCTGCACCCCCCGTGTTAGTGCTCCCGCCCAGAGTAGGGCATAATCCTTCACGTGATGTTCACCTCCCGCACCACACGTTCATCTTGGATCCAAGTTAGGTGCACAGTCCTGTCGTACAGACCACTTTAGGTGGTTCTGACTCGTAGGTGACCCGCGATTATTCGCCCAGTCTTCACTTGATCGTAGCACTTGAGCGTACTTATTTACACTCAGTCTTGTTGTACAGACCACTTTTGGTGGTTCCGACTTGTGTGCAGGTATAGTTAGTGAGTTGGAGATTTGAGCTCTAGATTCAGCCGTACAGGTCACGTTAGGTGACTTCGGCTGACAAATTTCATGGCATTAATTTGACATTACCTGAGTACTTGCATTTCTATGTAGAGGCATTCGTCGTGGGATATTTCTGTGCATGAGTTATATAGGCGTGCATACTATTTTCTGGGAAACTATACAGGTTTTACGGCGAACGATTAGTACTTTTGATATTGAAATAATTTTGAAAAGCTTTGTTTTTGCCCACTCACACTTTCTGTTTTGCGCCCCTCCAGGTTCTAGTTTGGATAGCTCTGTTTGTGGCTCTCGAGGGATTCATGGCATATCTGACAGATTATCACCAGTGTATGACCACCTTTGGGTGTGTTTACTTAGTGTTGTTTCTCTTGGACTGCACTAAGTCTTCCGTGCTCTGAACATCATAACTACAGTGTGCCACTTAGTACTATGGTTTGGTGGTATTCCTCTTCACTTGGAAGTGAGAGGTCTTAGGTTCGAATCTCATAGATGGCAAATTCGATACCAAATTAAGTTGCCTATTATGTGGCTTAGCCGAACTCCCCCTCCCTTTAGTGTAAAAATATAGAAGTACTCAAAAAAAAAACTATGGTGTATGCGTACCATGCGCCTTATCATTTGTCATGTGGCATTTCATCTAACTCTAGTTAACTTTCACATTAAATATTACTTTTTCAATTTTGAAAAAAAAATCAACTGAGTTTAAGTGAAAAGATACGTGACAGGTAATTAGATATATGGTGAGCATATACCAAAAATTAAAGTGGTGAGAAAACTTAAAAATTTAAGTCAGAAAATTTAAGACATAAGCCCGAAATGATTAAATAATGATTTTAGCATATTTTTTTCCGATAACTTTTTTAAAAATAACATTTATGTAGATTATCTTAATTTATTTTTACGAACATTTTAAGATAAAAATATTTAAATTCTGATAAGTAATTAAAAATCATACAAATACATAGGTATTTATTAAGTTGTAAGTAAACTTGATTTAAATTATTTTAGATGTTAGATTTAGTTTTTTGGGCCGTCAAATCTTTTTTAACCCATTAGATTTGATCTCATTTGATTATAGTCATTAGATCATAAGTAAAAAACAAAAATAAATAAATGTTTGAAATATGACAGTTTGGTGAGTCTAGAATAATTTAAACCTGCTTAAATCCATGGTGGAATCTAACTCAGAGGCATTTTCTTCCCAAGGCTTATTTTAGCTTAACGATTGGAGATGGTTTGAAAGGTTTTAAGGCTTATATTTTAAGTTTTATTCTATGGAACGGAGATGGTCTTAAAAATTAGCATTTCGGAAGATATTTCATTACATGGAAATGGAACGACAGAAAAATAAAGAACCAATTCAAATATACATAAGAAAGTCCATGATAAAGGACGAGTTAGGAAGAAAATAGTCCAGGATAAAGACGAGTTATGAAGAAAATCAGGTAACAGTGGAAATGGAATATGCCCTACCCACTCTCTTTCTTTTTCAGTGCTCAACAGGTCAAGCAGTAGGGAATATGCCTTGAAGAGTAGTATATGCGAAAGAGAGGAGCTTTAACATTAAGGAGGAGTTACTTTTAAAAATACCTTATGGTTTATTTACAGAATCTCATATTTATGATCAAAACAGTTTATATTGTAAATTATTATGTAAAAGATTATACTGCAAAAATATAATACAACTAATATCGTTTAGATAGATGGTTAATAATTCTTTTACCGAATGCATCTATCTATGATTATACAGCTTGATGACTAAACGATCTTAGTTTTAATTATTTTTTGTAAAAATGATCTTTATATAGTAATTTATAATATAAACAGTTCAGATAAAAATACGAAGTTCTATGAATAAGTTATGAGATATTTTAAGAAGAAGTTCCTTCTCAATCATTAAGGAGCTAAGTCTTTCTGGATGTTAAATATCTTTTGATTAAACAACATTTTGTTGGCCACGAAATTTATATGAATAGGAAGATTATATTTTTGCCCCCATTACACATAACTTACTGGGCACTGACACTAGTACAGGAAATTGTTATCGCCACAACCATTGGTACCGGAAATTTTTTCAGGTCTCGGAAAAATTTCAAGTCATTATTCAACAATCATGTAAGAAAAATAAGGCTTTTAGGTAAAATAGTTTTTGAGATTTGCATAACTCATCATTTTGGTATCTGATATTTGAAATCAATATAATTAGTTTTGTCCACAATCAATCATTTTAGTCATTGGGTGAAAAATTATGTCAAATAAGAATCAATATGACAAAATTAACCTCAATTTAATAAACAATAGGCTAAAATTATTTGACAAAATTGAGGATATTTTTGTCATTTTACCCTTATTTTATGGAGATTTTTCATGAAATGATCAAAATGATTGATTGTGGACAAATTTAGGAATCAATTCTATTGATTTTAAATTTCATGGACCAAAGTGAGGAGTTATACAAATCTCCAGACCATTTTGACTAAAAAGTTAAAAAATAACAATATGTACAATTTTTTCTTTTTTAATTATATCTTTGCTGTGTGAGTTATTATTTTTTAGTATGGATACACATTAAAATTAGAGAACTTAAGAATCATCACTTAGCAAGTTTTTTTCAAAAGTCACTATTGACCTTTAACCTTAAAGAAATTTTATAGTTTGATCGCTGAAAAATTTGATCCACGGGTCACCTGAAAAATGTTGGTCAGCTTTAAAATGTGATAAGACCAAGTTGCAAGTATGTAATTATGTTAAAATATAAAAGTGCTTATGATATTATGTTGGTTGACTTTTTTTTATTGATTAGAAATAATGTAGTCCTAATTCATTTTTAACGCTTTTAACGGAAATTGAAGTTTAGACATCTTTAACTGAAAAAGAATACCAATAAATTGTAATACGGATTTTTTTCTTAAGATTGAAATTTAAAAATGAAATAAAGTGAACTAAACCCGTATGCAAATTGCGATGTTATTACTGGGGCCTGGATCCTCTCCGAGGCAAACCCTTGGGATACTGCTTAGCGACAAACATAGGCCGTTAGATTTCAATTCAACGGCTACAAACATGAGGTTCATTTTAAAGTTATAATAATTATAACCGTTGCATTGAAATCTAATAGGTGTTGCTCAGCAGGATCCGCGGGTTTGCCTCGGAGAAGATCCAGTTCCGTTATTACTGAATTTCAGGTCTGCAAGTCCGAGTTGTGAGAGTACCCTCTCACTCTCTCTATATAAAGAGTCGTGCTTTTACAACACACACTCGCTTGTCTCGTGTCTGAACCTCTTCCTCCACCTGAAACCCTGCCGCATGCTTTTTCTTCTTCTTCAACTTTCTCGTGCCCAGATCATCAGCTGCCCGTTTTCCTGTAACCCCCCCGCCCTTTCTTCATCTGGGTCTCACGGGATTTGCTTTGCTTCCCACTCTTTCGTCTTTTTTTTTCCTTCTTCTTTTTACTCAAAATATACCACCAAAAAAAGAAAGGATTTGATAGAGTCTGTATCCCACTTGAATTGGGTTTATAGTCCCTCTGAAACTCAATTTAATCCACTCATTTTCCCTTTCGGATTCGCTTGTTTTCGATCGTTAATAGCGTGCATATATCTGCTGCTTAAAACCCCAGAGGGAGAGAGCAGTCCAGAAACTTAGAGAGAGCGAGAGAGTCTAGAGAGAGAGAGAGAGAGAGAGAGAAGGCGGCCATGGCTGCAAAGAACCTGGAGAAGATGGCTTCGATTGACGTCCAGCTGAGGCTGCTGGCACCTGGGAAGGTCTCTGAGGATGACAAACTGATTGAGTACGATGCTCTGCTGTTGGATCGTTTTCTTGATATTCTTCAGGATTTACACGGAGAGAGTCTCAGAGAAACGGTATTTTCTACTTTTATTTATTTATTTTCTTAATTGTTAATCAACTTATTTGTTATAATTTGATTACTTTTTGGCAAATTTGATAAATAATGCATGCTAGTTTTGATCAGGTTGCTTCCATTTATCTGGCGTTTAGTGCATACCTCGGTATTATCGCATCGTTTGGGAATATTTGACAATTTTCTTTTGCTTAATTTTTAATTAAAATATGATAAATTGATGGGGTTTTGGTTTAATCTTGACTGATAGAGAAAAAAAAAAATAAAGGATATAGTTTTTTTGACGTGTGAATTTTCACTCAAAAGGTTGTTAATTTTAAATGATTAAACGAGTAATTGATTGACTTTTGTAATGTAAATCGGACTAGGTGCAAGATTGTTATGAGCTTTCTGCGGAATATGAAAGAAAGCAGGACCCTCAAAAGTTGGCGGAACTTGGGAATGTGCTAACGAGTTTGGATCCCGGGGACTCCATAGTCATTGCTAAATCCTTTTCTCACATGCTTAACTTGGCCAATTTGGCCGAGGAAGTTCAGATTGCGTACCGGAGGAGGATCAAGATGAAGAAGAAGGGAGACTTTGCTGATGAGGCTTCAGCTACTACGGAGTCAGACATTGAAGAGACTCTCAAGAGGCTTGTGGGGGACCTGAAAAAGTCCCCAGAAGAAGTTTTTGATGCCTTGAAGAACCAGACCGTAGATTTGGTATTCACTGCACATCCTACTCAGTCTGTTCGCAGGTCTTTGCTCCAAAAGCATGCAAGGTTAGGATTCCACTTACGTTTGACAAATTGTGGAAGCCTGGTGGTTAAGCAACTGGCTCAGTTTATGCTTATTATCCGTCCTCACTTTGCACTTCTATAAGACATTCATGTGTGGGAATTGACATGTTATATTCTATAGGTGCAAGAGTTTTATGGTTTGTTGTTCTTTTAGTTGACATTGTGTTATTTTGACCCTTGCTCTCAGGATAAGAAATTGTTTGACGCAGTTGAATGCTAAGGACATTACGCCTGATGATAAGCAGGAACTCGATGAGTCTTTACAAAGGGAGGTATGTAGAAACCAATGGTGGAATATTATTCCTTGATATTATAGGCCAAACTTGATTTTCAAAAATCAGTTTCTCTGAATTTGGCAACCGGCTTCCTTAAATTTGCTGAAAAAATACAATGCAGATGCACCCAGATTCCAATACCTCTCTCTCAAAAGCTTGGATATTCAATTTAAGTAATTTACCTTTTTTGGCTGTAGATTCAAGCTGCATTTCGTACAGATGAAATCCGAAGGACTCCTCCAACCCCTCAAGATGAGATGAGGGCAGGAATGAGCTACTTCCATGAGACAATTTGGAAAGGCGTACCGAAATTCTTACGTCGTGTTGACACTGCTTTGAAGAACATAGGGATAAATGAACGTGTTCCTTACAATGCCCCTCTCATTCAGTTTTCTTCTTGGATGGGTGGGGATCGTGATGGTATGTTCATCTCATGCTATTATTGGATGAGTTAGTTTTTCCTTACACGGTGCTGCTTTTTTCACTGTCGCATTTCTCTCCCCTCTCACTTTAAAAGAATTCCTTAAAAATTATTCTGTTGGTTCTGTAGCTTAAATATGCTTGAAATGGACTGCAGGAAACCCCAGGGTCACTCCTGAAGTTACTCGGGATGTGTGCTTATTGGCTAGAATGATGGCTGCTAACTTATACTTCTCCCAGATAGAGGATCTTATGTTTGAGGTGTCAAAAGGATCATTACTTCTGCTTGATTGTTTTTTTATATTGATCTGCAGAGTACTTAAATATTTCTTTTTTCTTTCCTCATGCATTTGTTATTACCCTTTTTTCCCACAGTTATCCATGTGGCGATGCAATGATGAGCTTCGTGCTCGTGCTCATGAACTTCATAGGTCTTCAAAGAAGGATGCGAAACACTACATAGGTATGCAATCCAGACGAGTTCATGTTTTTACCATCCTTGAAACTATTTGAATATCCATCGAAACTTCAATCTTTGTCCTTCTATGATATTTATAGTAGCTCTCTATCTTTAATTCTTCGAAAAGGAAGTTGAGTTTTTAGACATACCTAATCATTGACATTGGTAGAAAAGTCTCCTGGTTTTTTTATTTATAGTAGCTCTCGATCTTTAATTCTTCGAAAAGGAAGTTGAGTTTTTAGACATACCTAATCATTGACATTGGTAGACATTGGTAGAAAAGTCTCCTGGTTTTTTATATTTATAGTAGCTCTCTATCTTTAATTCTTCGAAAAGGAAGTTGAGTTTTTAGACATACCTAATCATTGACATTGGTAGAAAAGTCTCCTGGTTTTTTATATTTATAGTAGCTCTCTATCTTTAATTCTTCGAAAAGGAAGTTGAGTTTTTAGACATACCTAATCATTGACATTGGTAGAAAAGTCTCCTAGTTTTTTCAACTTGAGTTTCTATTATGTGTAAAATACAAGTTTGAAATTAAATTTTAAAGGATTTTGTTAGTTTGTTTTTAATTATTCCTTTTTGGATGCAGAGTTTTGGAAACAAATTCCTCCAAATGAGCCTTATCGAGTTATTCTTGGAGATGTAAGAGACAAGCTTTACAATACACGTGAACGTGCTCGCCAATTATTAGCCAATGGAGTCTCTGACATTCCTGAGGACACAACGTTTACCAATGTTGAACAGGTATCTCGTAACCACAAGATTTATGAGTTTCGTTGTGAAATTGTAAAAGATTGAATTTCCAAGATACCAAAATTTACGATAAGCGGAGCTTTAATGTCAGGAAGCCTTTCAATAAATTTACAATAGATGTTCAGTATACAAATTGTGTTTGAACCTTCAGGCTCATGCAACGTTTATTGTAGTAGAGCTGATTGTGTTTTTGCTCCCTTGTAGTTTCTGGAGCCTCTCGAACTTTGTTACCAGTCACTCTGCTCCTGTGGCGATCGGGCAATTGCTGATGGAAGCCTTCTTGATTTCTTACGACAAGTTTCTACTTTTGGGCTGTCTCTTGTGAGACTAGACATACGACAAGAATCAGACAGGCACACTGATGTCCTCAATGCTATAACAAAGCACCTGGAGATAGGATCTTATCGAGAATGGTCTGAGGAGCGTAGGCAAGAATGGCTCTTGTCTGAGCTTCGTGGCAAGCGGCCCCTTTTTGGCGCTGATGTTCCCAAGACTGAAGAAATTGCTGATGTGCTGGACACGTTCCATGTCATTGCAGAACTTCCCTCAGACAATTTTGGTGCTTATATTATATCAATGGCAACATCCCCATCTGATGTTCTCGCTGTTGAGCTTTTACAACGTGAATGTGGTGTGAAGGAGCCACTAAGGGTTGTTCCATTGTTTGAGAAGCTTGCTGATCTTGAGGCTGCTCCTGCTGCTGTGGCTCGTCTCTTTTCTATAGACTGGTACAAAAACCGGATCAATGGGAAGCAAGAAGTCATGATAGGGTACTCAGATTCCGGAAAGGATGCTGGTCGTCTATCTGCAGCATGGCAGTTATACAAGGCTCAGGAAGAGCTCGTAAAGGTCGCAAAAAAATTTGGGATTAAGCTTACGATGTTTCATGGTCGAGGTGGAACAGTTGGAAGAGGAGGAGGGCCCACCCATCTTGCTATATTGTCTCAGCCACCCGACACTATTCATGGTTCGCTTCGTGTTACAGTTCAAGGTGAAGTTATTGAACAATCATTTGGGGAGGAGCACTTGTGCTTTAGAACACTCCAGCGTTTCACAGCAGCTACACTTGAGCACGGAATGCGCCCTCCCGTCTCCCCAAAGCCAGAATGGCGTGCACTCATGGATGAAATGGGCGTCATTGCAACAGAGGAATATCGGTCAATAGTTTTCCAGGAGCCCCGTTTTGTTGAATACTTTCGCCTCGTAAGTATCCCATTTATCCAGCATGATAGTCCTTTGCATATCTATCTATCTTCTCTCTCTCTCTCTCTCTCTCTCTCTCTCTCTCTCTCTCTCTCTCTCTATATATATATATATAATATTATACGTATAATTTTATGTGCATATATATAAACTAATCATTTAATTCATACAAAATCCTTAAAAACAATGTATGGTTTTCTTTTTTGGGATCATATGTTAGTCAACTAGTTGCAGAAATCACTCTCCTGTTCTTGCTCTACTTTCGCTACCTTAAATGAAATCGACTCGATTGTTTTCTTATAAAGCTCCCATTTATCCTCATCACGTCACTGAATTAGCTAATAATTATTTTTCTGTAATAGTTTGCTGAGAAAGATGAAAATGCTAACAAACTCATAAATGTGTTATTCCCTTGGAAAATGCAGGCAACACCAGAGATGGAGTACGGTCGAATGAACATTGGGAGTCGTCCTTCAAAACGAAAGCCAAGTGGAGGCATTGAATCACTTCGTGCAATCCCATGGATCTTTGCTTGGACCCAGACAAGATTTCACTTACCAGTGTGGCTTGGCTTTGGGGCAGCATTTAAGCATGTTATTGAGAAGGATGCGAAGAGTCTCCAAATGCTTCGGGAGATGTATAATCAGTGGCCTTTCTTCAGAGTCACAATTGATTTAATTGAGATGGTGTTTGCCAAGGGTGATCCCGGTATTGCCTCTCTGTATGACAAGCTTCTCGTGTCAGAAGACCTATGGTCATTTGGAGACCGATTGAGGGCCAACTATGAACAAACTAAGCTCCTCGTCCTCCAGGTAATGCAACACATAAATTACTGACACAAGGACTGTTTAGGCAGACCTTAATACTTTTAACATTGCAAAAGACGTAAACGGGATGATTCTCTTTCACAAAGATATTATCTTCATAGGCAATTTGTTTCTTCTGTTCTTTCTTTTGAAGCTTCGACTGTAAAACCATAAGAGCATTTCTCTGAGGCTAATTTTAATCTGGACCATGTGCAGTGCTCTAAGTGGTTTTATTACTAATATTTTGAGAAACTAATCTCAGTTTGTGTTAATTTTGTAGGTTGCTGGACATAAGGCTCTTCTGGAAGGAGATCCCTACTTGAGGCAGCGACTCCTCCTACGTGATTCATACATCACGACACTTAATGTGTGCCAAGCCTATACACTGAAGCAAATTCGTGATCCAAACTACCATGTCAAAGTAAGGCCTCATTTGTCGTCGGAGTACATGGAAACAACCACCAAGCCGGCAGCAGAGCTTGTGAAGCTCAATCCAACGAGCGAGTATGCTCCTGGTCTGGAAGACACTCTAATCCTGACCATGAAGGGTATTGCTGCTGGTATGCAGAACACCGGTTGAAGCTCAAGTATCTTGCATCTCGGTAGATATGTTCAAACACATAAAGTATGGTACGAAATGGGTGCTCTCTGCTTTTTAAGCGCTCTAAACCTCCATAGAATAAAAACTTGTGTAATAAGTTGAATAAACCCATGATTTTGGTTTGTGAGAACCAGAATTTGTAATCTATGGCTTTTCTTCTTGTGGAAATCTTATGTTTCTGGTTTCGTTTTCGCAACCGTGGCCAGGGAACATGAGTATGATGGAACCGTATGCTTAGATATATACTAATGTTCTTGTTTACGTCTGACCGTTTCTCCAAACAGAGTGGTTTGGAAGTCCGTCGTCGATGCATGACTACCTATAATCTAAAAACCCCGGGCTAGATCTCTTCCGTTCGGCGGCTTTTCAGAGTCGAGCACTTGCCGATTGATATCCAATTTTCCCCATTATTTTTGTATCCGTAATAGTGCGAAAAAAAGCTCCGACTCCAAGTTGTTCAAGAATAGTGGCGTTGAGTTTCAACCTTCTTACCTTAGGTCCTGTTCTCCTTTTTTTTTTTTTTTTGGGTGTCGGTGATATCTTTACCCTTTTGGTGTCAGTTTGTCTTGATTTCTGTCAACGATGTTTTTTTTTTTGTTAAAAAAAAAAAACAGTTGTTGACAAGAAATTTCCACATCAAATTTTACAAGCGTTTGAGGTTCTCGAGTTGTGAGTAGTTTCTATCCAAACCGTATAACGTCCCAAAGAACCTACTCACTTATTTCATAAAGAGATATTTTGTGATTTGTGAATAAGACACTAAAGGCATGGAAAACTGACTTACACGATCACCATTCACCACCACAGATTCAAGGAAAATAAAAAGAAATCAATAACTTTCTCCCTTTTTATTCTTTTTGATGAATTTTTTTTATTTAATTAGAGAACGAAAAATACTTAGCTCCTTACGTAGTTATATTTTTAAGAAATCTTTTTTTTAGATAGTCATTTTTTGTGCATGATGACTTGGGATGGCAACTTTCGCGAGTTTTGGTCGGGTTTGAAGGATAAAAAATGGGAACGAGGATAAGTTTGGAGAAATTTTTGGGTATGATGTTCGTGCAAGCGGGGATGATATTTTAATCTTCAACCCGGATCCGACCCATTTGAAGTATATATTAATTGTTTTTTATAAAGGTATTGATTCATGTCGAACATTTTAGGAGAGTATAATGGTCACTACATTTTATTATTTTAGTTAATTTGGAAGATTTTTCGATTTTTCTGAATCAGAATATGTTTGATTTCCTATGTCGACTTAAAATACTAGAAAGAATATTTTAGATTTCCTGTATGTAACTGTTTAGTGATATTTATCTACACTTATAGTTGAGAAGAAATATTTTTATAAGTGAAAAATCTTATTTTTGAATTTCGTGAATGATGAATCAAATATGAGACTTGTCTACTTTATTTATTTATTATTATTTTTTTTTAATATCATATATTGATGTGATTTACATTGAATTTATATACGAATCTACATAGGCCTCAACAGAGATGAAGATAGTGATGAAATACCCATCACTCTTCTACCCATCCCTGTATGTCATTTTATTGCAGAGAAAGTTGTAGAAATGATCCATCATTTTTAACCTATCAGAGCAATGATTCATCATCTAAAAATTCATAACCATGGTTTTTAACTCATCAAAACGTGCAACTATGATCATTTTCGTCAAATTTGTCACAATTCCATCAAAACGAGTCATGTTGGAAAAACCATTACTACAATTAGATTAAAGTTAAAAGAACATTGCTCCAATTATGTTAAAGTTGAGGAATTTTTACTACAATTTCTTCTTCATTGTACAAATGTTTATAATTTAAAAAAAATAAAATTAATCTGAAGGATGAACAGTCCAGATTAAAACGTTTGTAAGTACGTGAAAGAATTATTTTGCATTGTATCTCATTGATTCGTTATCGACAACAAACAGCCATGGCGATTCTCAACTCTTATCTCTCAGTGACGTCCACAGCCACACGCATCTCCCCAGACTCAGCAACGCCACCGGTACCCGACCCGAGACAGACCAAGATCCTATTGCCCAAGAAGAAGCCCATGAAATGGTCCACCGGAGTTGCTCCCGGCGATTACGGCGGACCTCCCACCACCACCAAGCTCCGCAAGTACTGGGGCGGCGAGGATGACCCTCTAACCTCTGACGATTTCATTTGGAACAGAGAATTCATGGACCGCATGAAAAAACTCATTCAGGAGCCCAACTCTTCCACTCAATCCACTCCTGTCAAGGTTCCAACTTATTTAAAATCTTTTCCCTTTCATCACTAGATTCATTTATTTTCTGGGGTTTAGTGCGTATTTTGTTGTTCATTGATTTGGTGGTTTGTTTGGGTAATTGATAGTAAATGTTGATCGTTTGAATGGTTGGAGACTAACTGGTTTTCTTGTGCTGATATTTAGTTACATGTACGTTGATGTAGCTGAGGGCGCTTTGATAATCATTTCGTTTCCAGTTTGTTTTTCACTGAAAACTCGCTCGATAACTACCTTCAATTTTCATCTAAAACCAAAGACTGAAATGGTTATCGAACGGGCGCTTAGTAATCAATTAGACAAGTCCTTGTTGGTTGGTTAATTTGGCGCCTTTGTTGATCACTTAGAAGTTGTGTTGGGTTCGGTTTTGGTTACTGAATATCTGGAAGGAAAGAAAGAAAAGGAGACACTGCATTCTTAGCTATGTTGATTCGTCGCGAGATTTTTAATCGAAAGAGAGTTTTGGTGTAAAGTCATGTGGTCTTTTTATTTGTGAATGTTTTCTGTGGTTTTGTTGCGTGATGAAGCGTGTTTCGTCTGTAAACAGGAAAAGCCTTCCGGGTTTCTCAGCTTGAATAGAGTCATGGGCCTTGACAGGTTTGTAACTTCTCACGAGTAGGTTTTATTGTTTGTTTTCCTCTTACATAAAAATTGTTCTCAAAACTTGACTGAATTGTGGGGGTACAGTTTAGAAGTTGATTTGAGCAAACAGCTCACAGCTGCTCCTGCCCAACCCAAGTTAGAAGCGCAAGTTGAGGCGCCAGCGAAAGTATGACAAACGTCTTTAGTTTTCGATCCTAGTGCTTTTACTCAGGGCAGTTTTCAGTTTCGATTTTCATTTTCCGAAATTTAATGATTGTCAGAGTGCCAGCAGTACTGCTATCAAATGGAAACTGGCACCAACACGGCGTGAGCAAGATAAGTGGGATAGAGCAACTAAGGCTGCAACTGGAGGCAGTGTAAGTCAGACTTCGAAGGGTGCTTCTTCTTTTCAACCAAATGTTACTTTGAAGGGTGCTTCTTCTTTCTGTGATTCACACTTCGATCTAACCTGCAGGAAGTGATGTTTCGGGAATTAAGGCGTTCTCAGGAGGACCCAAAAGTAGTGGCTGAGCAGTATAGGAAGCAGTATTTTAGGGTACTTATCTGCAGTACCAGTCTACTATATTTTCATCTATACCATCGTTCTTTGTATAGATACATGCTCTCCTGGCACTACTACAATTAAAAATGGATGACATTCATTTTCCTGTTGCAGCTAAAGAAGAGGTTGCAATTCCTTACACTGGGTATAGGCGGTGTTGGATTAGTCTCGGCTTATGTTTCATACTCCCCTGAAATTACGGCTAGGTATGAACATTAAGGTTCTATTTTGTTTTTGTTTTAAAATCTAAGGTCGTGTCACCCCACATCTGATTTGTCATATTTTCCCTTCTTGCAAGAAAATTAGTGAATTGTGTGGAGGAGCGTCTTAAACTTTGAGAATATCTTATATGTGCTTTGTTCTTTTCTTTTCTTTTCTTTTTTGTCCCCTAAAGGCTTTTATGGCAGTCCTACATTTAAGTTATAAGTAGGCAGGCAACCTATGTTTATAAAAGTTTTATGATAAAGTAATATCTAACCTTAATTATGTAGAGCAAAAGAAATTTTCACGAGAGAATTTTGTCGATTGACTATGAGTCTGAGATGGTACATACGGGTTAAGGGTATTACATTACTGCATGTTGCATACTTAATTGCTTGCATACTGAAGGGCATTAAGAAACTCCATGACTTCACCATTAGGATAACTGGATAAGTGATGACGATGATGCTTAAGCCTTCGAGCCTTTGTAAGGTACAGTATAAGTCCATGCTTCTCCTTTGTTCAACCAGTAGAATATCTACTGCCGGTTTATTTGTGAGGTTTTGTCCTGCCTATTTGATTTATGAGTATGCAACCAAGTGTGGGTCTGGTAATGGTTACTTGCCCTGTTAATTCTAGGGAATTTCACTAGTGAGAGGTAGTTGTTTCGACGATTACAGTCTCAGGACATAAGATGGTGTTTTATATTGTACAAATTATCATTTATCATGGAATTTGATGCTCATCTATCTCTTATAACTTCAGCTATGGTGTTGGGTTGCTTGGTTCTATAGCTTATATGCGTATGCTGGGGAGTAGCGTGGATTCCATGGCAGATGGAGCAAGGGGACTTCTCAAGTACGTAACAAATGACTATTGCCTGATGTAAATGCATCAGCTGAATGTTTTGTACCGAGCACATATCAACGAGGGGTTTGATATGCAATTTATTATTTTCTTTAAATGCATACACACATACATCAAGATGTTTGGAAAACTCACACTCTGAACAACATCTAGCTAGTTTCCTTGATTTGCTATGAGTTAATTGAGGCTCATAACTCCAGAGATTATGATATCATGGGCCACCCACATCAAGATACTGTATAGTATTACGTATGTTGTTTTGAAAGAAAAAAGAAAGAACGTCATCTAACATTTTGGAATCTTAATGCAGGGGAGCGATTGGGCAACCCAGGCTATTGGTTCCTGTTGTATTAGTCATGATATTTAACAGATGGAATGGGTAAGCATCTGCACTCGCATGTTCCTCTTCGAATGTAACTGTACTCGTCTTCTTGCGTTGATAGATACTTCTGCAGATGGTTTCTGAAAGCTCTCTTAAAGTACTTTTCACACATACATGAATAATTGTACGGTGAAATCAATATCGAATAACCATTCTGAAAGTTCTGGGGTTATGGCTGAAAACAACAGGTTCAGTACCTTTTTTCTTTGCCTAACAAGGTTGAGTTCGGGTGCAGGATCGTCGTTCCAGAATACGGATTTATGCACCTGGAATTGATACCGATGCTGGTGGGATTCTTCACATACAAGATTGCTACTTTCATCCAAGCTATAGAGGAAGCACTTCCCGCAGTTGAGAAAGAGACGTAAGTTGAAGACAGACCTCTTCACGAACCAGCGGAATATTCGAGTGATGGTTGTGATGCAGCACTTGCAAAGGTTTATTCGTTTATTTTTCACGAGTTGCAGATAATTGGTTGCTTGGAAGTGAAGATATGTGCAGTGAATTAAAAGGAATTATTGTCTCGTTATTTCTGTTGATTTTTTTTATGTACTGTATGAATATGGAATATTGTAAAGGATGGAAAAATAATACAATTCTATACGATTTTGCCTCTGCTTTTGTTTCTATTCGACGAATGGGGAAGACAAGAGTCGAACTCTTTTATGTGGGTGTTATTTTTTAGCTGAAAATGTTGTAAAATTGGAGTTAAATTCGTAATGACACAAAAACCCTTGATTTTGGTTTAAACTTTATTAAATCCATATTCACCTGTTTAGAGAAATAAATATTGGAAAACAGATAAGATCAAATCCTTAATTTAAGGCTTGTTTCGATGTGCTTTTCAAGTAACTAAAAGCACTTTTAGAGAAAATATTTTTGGATTCCAGGAAGCACTTTAAGTGCTTCTTCATGATTTACTTGCATCTTTACTAAAAATTGGTTCTAAAAACTTTTTTACCACAAATAATTTCAGTTATTTTAAAAGTACATCCAAACGAGCTCTTAATTAGATAATATTTCTTGACTATGCTTTATCAAGACGCGAAGGTGGTCAGTAAGGTGGTCCAAATAACATTTATTCGAAACATGCAACACCAAGGAGGAAGCCAACATTGCAGTCAAGATCACTCGCTTTGAAGATGCGCCTGCAAACAGTGAAAAGCAGTTTAATAAAGAAGAATAAATGCTATTTGAATATAAGAGGACGATTTGAATATAAAGAAGGAGATAAAAACTCACGATTCAAATCGTCCTATTATATTAACTATCCTAAATCTATACATCATATGTCTAAGTAGAAACCTAATTCCGAAGAATTAGGCGAGTCACATAAAGAAGGAGATAAAAACTCACGATTCAAAGAAGAGAGAGAAGGGCACAACTCCAATTTATAAAATTAGTTTTTAGGGCACAACTCCAATAATTCCCAGGTTTAGTTGTCTGCATGATAGACGCTCCTTAGCATGAACCCTGTCCGAACCTTTAGACGAGTTGAGATGTAGTGAGATGGTTGTCCGAGCCCTGAGATAAGGTTCCAAATTGGGCTTTGAAGTTGGTAAGTCGGAGTCGTGCAAATTTTGTGTAAATAAAAATAATTTGGTCTCATAGCATGCCTTATTTTTAATTATGGCCCAAACAGCTTCTTTTCACATCCTATTCCTCACCTCTGCTCAAAGCTAGAAATGACACATTTGTTTTGGACATCATATCTCAACCTCTCATCACTGCTTCGAACACGACAGGCATGCCAGAAAATTGGGACCAACCGTGTTGTGGCTTTTGCCCGAAGTGAGGGTGTTTTAAATGCCTCTTAGCCCCGTCCCTTTCTTATTTATTTTTGTTTTTGGTTCTCCTTGCAGGGGCATCTAACGGTTATTGAATGTGGTGACTCTTCTCCCGTGTGATGGTTTTAATGACCAAATTTGGTTGGGGATAGTTTCTTATTGCGGGTTGATAATTTTTATGTTGCAATACCCTTGTGGTTGCTGGCGTGGTGGTAGCGACAACAACTGTGTTTTGCCTCAATAAGATAAAGATTAGTTTATTATTATGAGAATTATTATTTGCATTCCAAAATTCTCATTCTACACTCCAAACTTTCTATATTTAGAAAAAAAATACACTTTTAAGGAGTGTAAAATGAGATTTTTGAACTGCCAATAACACTTTCCATTATCTGTATTAATTAATGAAACCCTCTTTGTCAACCAAAATAGGGTGAAAAGACAACTTAGTATTCTATCACACAAAAAAAATGATGGGTAATAATGTAATTTCACAAGTCTAAATTTTACTATTTTTTATTAAAGCATCATCTATAGGTGATGTTAAAATATTTCTAATATTTAAAAAAAAAAAAACCAAAAACAAAAACCTTCCACTCCTCACGTTCTCTCTTTCTCTCTCTCTACATTTTCTAAAAAAATATGTTCATACACATAAAATGTGTAAACAAATGCTAGTTATTATTATTATTGTTTTATCTTCTTGGTGAATGGGTTTTGGGCCTTTTGGCTATACTCGAATTTTATTGAGTTACTTGATGTAACATGTAATGGGCTTTTCTCATCCAATGAAAAAAAAATAGTAAACCCTAAACCTTAGAAGCTCACTTGGCATATCCCTATTTGTCCCTAGAAAAACCAACAAGATTCGGATCCTTTTAGTGAGGGTGCTGAAAATTCTTGAATTGTGTACGTTAATCGTACATTGTGCGATCAATTTTTATCAGATATTTTTATATTTAATTTTAAATAAAAATATTTAAAATAATTTCTCATTGCATGATGTACGATGAACAGATATAAAAAGATCCGACAAGAATCTGAATTATCCCAGTAAAAACGTGGCACGTCGCATAGTCCACAACTCACAAGTCCAAAACGTGCAGAAGATTTGGTCTCAAACAGTGGCCGTGTGACTCGAAATCCCAATTCTGGCGATATAACAAATAATATTTTGAGCGGAGGACAGAATAAATAATTAAAATAATAATAAAGGGTAATTCTTTGACCCTTTATGTTTCGTATAAATATTACGGAAAGAAATTGGAGTTTTGAGCGAGAGATCAAAAGAGTCGAAGAATTCGGAAGCCCCAAAAACCTCAAACTGCAGGCTGCCAAAACCCTAGATTCGATCCGCCATGGGCTTCGCTACTGAACGTGAGAACTTCGTCTATCTTGCCAAGCTCGCTGAGCAGGCAGAGCGATACGATGGTTAGGGTTTCTCCCTCTCATTTGGCCTATTTTTTTTCATGCATTTTAATTCTTCTGCTTCACGCTGAGTGTGATCCTTTATCTGGAGTTTGATTTTATTTTTAGTCGCTTTAATTTTGCAAATTCAGTGTTTGGTTGGTGAGAAAGTGAAGGAAATGGGAATCTTTCGTTCGATTTTCGGTTGTATGCCGATCTGAACTAAGGATCAGTCAAATACTCAGTCAGTTAATTATTTCTGCTCAAGTCTTTGGTGCATTCGATTTCTTGGTATGACTATTGACGTTTTTTTGACTTCTGATTCCATGGAGATTCTTTGTCCTGAAAAGTTATATTAGTACTTGGTATATATTTGATTTGGTACAAAAACTTACTGCCACAGACTTCACAAGTGTTTGTTGTTTTTCTTTTGGAATATTTTGTACGATCGGAACTAAAGCAATAACCCGGGCTAAGTAATGTATGTATTGAAAATTTGGGCTAGGTTGAGTAAATCAGTGCTATCCACACACCCATTTTTACTTCTCACACACCCCTCTCAATTTTTGGCCGTCCGATCGAATGAATTGAAGAAGATTGGCTGAAAATTAACACGGGTGTGTGGGGGGGTAAAAATGGGTGTGTGAATAGGCACTACTATTGAATTTGTAATCTCCTTGATTTTATTTGTTTCAGTCAAAAGATGTAATTTCTAGGGATAAACCTTTTCTCAAGGTTTTATTTTCTAAGAAGTGCATCTGGGATTGTACTTGAGTTGGGAAAACCATCATTTAGTTTACAGTTGCCATGATTATTGGTCTTTGTCTTACCTAATCTATTGACATGGGTTGTTTTCCAGAAGATTATGATCTAATTGGTCAAATATTTGTTTAGATCTCTAATTCCAATTTTGACCAAGAAATTCTTTTGACTAAGTCATATCGCTTCAAAATCTCAAACTGAACCCACCTGTCTATGTTTATTCCAGATTTTCTCTCATGTTTTTTTGTGTTAACAACTTTAGCATGGTACAACGTTTTCTTTTCAGTCGTGACTAATGACACAATTGAAGGAAGGAAAGCAAGAGTGAAAGTCTGTTTAGATTTAAATAGGGCAATAGCTCCACTCTCTGTAACATGGTTCTGCCTCTGGTGAAAAAGTGTGGGTTTGTTTACTTGATCATAAATTTAAAATATCATTTTGTATGTGACATCTTCTCTAAATGTTAACAGAGATGGTCGATGCAATGAAGAAGGTAGCAAATCTTGATGTTGAATTGACAGTTGAAGAGAGAAACTTACTTTCTGTTGGGTACAAGAATGTTGTTGGTGCTCGTCGGGCATCATGGAGGATCCTATCATCAATAGAGCAGAAAGAGGAATCAAGAGGAAATGAGAGTCATGTGAAGCAACTCAAGGAGTATAGACAGAAGGTTGAATCAGAGCTCTCAACCATTTGTATTGATATCATGGCAGTGATCGATGAGCATCTCATTCCTTCAGCTACAGTTGGTGAATCAACTGTTTTCTATTATAAGATGTGAGACTATATTTCTCAAAACCCAAGAGATATCATTTACTTATTTGTTCTTCTATTGCTTTTGAAATGGGCATCATGAAGGTAAATAAATGTTGACATCGAAATAATTTGGTTGTAGGAAAGGAGATTATTATAGGTACCTTGCAGAATTCAAGAGTGGTGACGACTAAAACTGAGGCTGCTGAACAGTCAAAGAAAGCGTACGAGGTTACTCTCTTTCTCTCTCTCTCTCTCTCTCTCTCTCTCTCTTAACATTGACACTGGAAATGTTTATTTATCTTAAAATTGATGCCGTTGCAGACTGCCACCACCACTGCTGAGGCCGAGTTGCCTTCTACACATCCCATCCGTTTGGGTCTGGCTCTGAATTTCTCAGTCTTCTATTATGAGATCATGAATTCTCCAGAAAGGTTTGTAGGATGCTATTTAAAGGTTGATTACTGTTACGTTTATGTCAAAATTCCCTTCTTGATGTGGATACTATTTTCCAGGGCTTGCCACCTTGCAAAGACAGCTTTTGATGAAGCTATTGCTGAGCTTGACTCTTTGAATGAGGAGTCATACAAAGATAGCACCTTAATCATGCAGCTTCTAAGGGACAACCTCACGTTGTGGACTTCTGACCTTCCAGAAGATGGAGGTGATATTAATAATTATTTCAGGATTTAACAATGCACATAATTCCATCTCTACTAAAGTTTAGAGGATTAGTTCTTTGATTAGATTAGTCCATCCTCGCTCCACTTTTTTCCTTTCCGTCCATTTCAGGATTTGCTTCAGGTATGCTAGCCTTCATTTGATTGGATTTTAAATCTAATTGTGTTTCATAGGTCTCTTTGCTGGATGTTCCCATCTTTTACTTGATGCATTTATAAGTTATGCGATGTTACCATTCTTATGCTTATGGTGTCTGTTTGTGTACTTTTGAAGTATTTTCTTAGAGGGAAGAGATTGGCATCATGCTGAAGTCTCATCCACTATTGTAGTGTAATGGCATTAAAAGGTTGCATAAGCTAGTTGATGGACTATGTTGTTTTTTTTTTGCATTGAAGGAGAGAAATAAATAGGTAATGGAAGAATTTTATAAAACAAAATGCCATCCAACCTAGCTCATATTTCATTTATGTCTAGCAGAGATGATATCTTTATTTGATGAATTGATGTCTATGGATTCTTAGTATCAAATACCCTTCAAAGGAATTGTTCCTTGTATTTATTTAGGTTGGATAACCTGCTTTTGGTTGTCAGTTATGGCCAATGGTTTCTGGTGACAAACTTGTCACAATTATCCTTGGGCCAATATAGGTGTTCAGGTGCTATAGTCGCTCACACCCATTGAATCAAGTTGTACTGGATTATGGAAAAGAAACTTTAAAAAGCAAACATGTAGATCTTACAGGATTTATGTGAACAAATTAACAACTGAATGAATGTAGTCTTTACAAGTTTGTTGTAGTAAGGGCAGTGGTTTCTTTTTCCAAGTTTAGATTCTAGGATCGCATTTGTTGATTCGTAGTTTATTTTGAGGAATCTTGTTGGGTTTAAAAAAATGTATACTCCCAACAGTGTTTCTGCAACCTTGCCTGGTTGTTGGACTGCTTTCGTCTCTGATGTTTTACATTGTATGCCTTGATTCTTGACAACTAAAAGCTTATGTCTCTAATCATGACTTAGTGAGTGGAGGCAGGTTTATAACAAAACAAGTTTGCAGTACACACTTTATAGAAGAACTCCCTCCACTTATTTTTTGATAATTTTTATCGAATAACTAAAATTAAACAAGCATTTATAATTTACATTCAAAGAATTGGATTATATTTGTTTTTATTTAGGCTTTGAAATGATATGTGGAGTTCAGCTAAATGTTATTTGATTTTTTATTGTTCTTTGGGTGCATGAAATGCAATGATCCCGTTTTGTTATGTAGCGATCTGGGGTACCGAACGTATTGCTTAAAAAGTAGTCCATAATGTGAATTCCTTTAAGTTCTCATATAGCTAAAGTGATATTTATTCACGAAACTGTCCTACCAGTCACAGAACACATGCACGGGCTGCAAGAAGTTAGTATAGAGATTTACTGTGAAATCATCAATAGTCTAATATGAAATTCGAATTAAACTCGTTAGTGGACAAAATATTTGCTCTATTTTAAAGACCAAGCATCATCTTTAACACTTATTATTGCTCTCATTTTTGCTGCAGAAGATTCCCAAAAGGTGAATGGCAATGCCAAGATTGGCGGGCTGGAAGAGGCAACCGTGAGTATCTCACATATTTCTTAGCTGTTTGTGAGTAATATTGATGTACGACTAAAAGCTTATGTTTCTCTGGCAGTGATGCAGGTGGCATCTTAGGATACGCCGCGTATTATGGATCAGGGATGGACCTGAGTCTCGTTTCCTTCGGTGTTGGACAAAATTCAGGCGTTCATTGTTTACCATGTTATTCTGTAGTCATTTCTTTCCTTTTTCCCGCCCTGTCAAGTTGAGTCCATGTTATGTGGTGTGGTTTATAATATCATTGTATCCGGGCATGGTTCGATCTGCTTTGCACTAGCTTTTCATACTTGGTTACGTTGAATGGAGCACAGAGGATTAACCAATTGCTTAGGGTGATTTTCGTGTTTTAGCGAAAATGACGTAGCCCAGATGGATGATTTTATACTCGTGTGTTGTTTGTTTAACTGTTGCTATAAACCTTTATGTATGGTGTTAATCTATGTTACTCTGTCTTGTTGCTCCTTAATTTGTTCTAGGGTTTATAGTTGTAATGAGAAACGTTAAACACCCTTAGCCATAGAAGAATGCGGTATGTCATCCACTCTGCCACATTCTAGTATTGGAGAAATTTTTTCATGTGACTCGAATCAGCATGACAGGTGGAACCTATGGACACCTGTATCCTTATAGCATAACAATTTAATGCATTTAAATTTTATTAAAAAATCAAAATAAACAAGACCTAAACTGTTCCCAAGACCTAATATACTCTCTCGGTCTCCTATCCTGTCTCCTTCTGACTGGGGGGGGGGGAGATGGGGGCATTTGGGGAGACTAGGATTATAAAGCAAGTCTTGGGAACAGTGCAAGTCTTGTTTATTTGGATTTTTTTTAATAAAATTTAAATGTATTAAATTGTTATGCTATAAGGATACAGGTGTCCATAGGTTATTGGTGAGGAACACCGCCTGTCATGTTGAGGTGTGTGTTCCAGTCACATAGAAAAATTTCTCGTTGTATTGGAAGTGGTTGAGTACACATGGGTGGCGAGGCTTGCCTGTGATGGTAAGCGCACGCTAGTTTGGTTCGTGTCCACCAAGTTATGAACATCGAATGAGTAACCCTAAAACTATGCTGAAACAATGCGTTTGAAGTCATATTGCAGTATCCTTGTGCAGTTTCACCCCCACCTGATTAGCAAGCCTCGTGTCCGAAGCGCCTTGTATGGTTCATGTCCGGTGTCCTCGTCGTTAAACGCCCATATGGCATGAGCTTCGGAGTTTTATGTGTTCCCAAAGTTTATGGAGAGATTGAGTCCGAATCCGAATGGAGAGGACTTTAACGTTAACTGTGGACATATATTGTGTCTGCTTCTAACAAAAACGGAATCGTTTGGCATAACAAGCCAGCCAGAACATTTTTGTTTAGAACAAACGCCAAAGTTTTTAGAAGCTATGAGTTTGGCGCGTTTGGAAATTGGAATTCTCTCTGTTGCATTTGCCTGTGCTCGAATTATAGTGTGTTTTTCGTCTTTGTTTTTTCGTTTTCGATCATTGGGCGAGTAGGTAGTTTGTTGGTATTATTGCACGCAAGGGTTTAAATATATACCATTTTTGGTCTCTCAGTACTCTTTTATTTCTAACAATTGGATTGAATAAATCAAATAAAATGAACTGACAGAATTAAACAGGAGTATGTAGGAAAAGAAAAAAAATGTTGTTTATGTATCATTTCCCATAAACTCTCTTTGTTGTGTAGGTACCAAGGTGGTCCCCAAACCACTGCGAGGCAAGAGAACACGCATGTGAAGATCTTTCGAGGACTCTCTGAATATTTCGTACGAAACTCGTTTGTGGTCACCAAGTGTTTGATGTAGTGTTTGTTAGGTATATTTCGACAGCACTCGTCATATTACATCTACAGAAGTCAACATATACTCTTGATAACACTTAACATATTGCTTCAGCCTATATCAATATCTATTAACATGTGCGACGAAATGCCTCACTAAACAAACTAAAAACTTTTTGCGTGATTTTTCCGTCTAAAAACTTAAACATTTAACCGAGACCCCTAAAATTCTAATCCTGATTCCGCCAATATTTGATGGTGTATCATTGTAAGGATGTAATATTGTTATTAGTTGGGGTATTGTGCTTTATAGTTTTCTCCGTCAGCAGCACTCAGCATATCGCATGAAAACAACGAAAAAGCATATCCGAATCCGCCCGTGAAAATTCGGCATTTGAGATTGAAACGCTTTCTTTCACGTAAGAGCAGCAGGCGACAGTCGTTTTCAGATTCTCCTCCTGTTTGCGATTGACGACTCTAGTCTCAAAGTGGAAGCAAAACCGACACACACAATCTGAAATTCCGAATTTCTTTCTTCAATTTGCATATTTTCTCGTCTCATCTCTGTCACAATTTGCATTCAATTCCCAGAACGATGCCATTCCAAATTCCACATTCGAAATTAGGAATCCGAATGCCCAAACGTTGGTTGATTGGGGGTTAATTACGAGCGGCCCTGATGCATATTATGATTGTTTATATAATAAGATACTTGAACACATGAACATATAGTCCAATTGAATCCTTGTTTTCTCACTTCCTTCAACCTTCGGCTGGGCTGAGCTACCAATACCAAATTACCGATACACCTATCTTACCAATATACCATGAGCTGCTGCGAGTGTGAGTGCAACAATGCAGATGCAGAGAACCCAAAACCCAATATTTTGGCTGTCATTTTCGATTTGGATGGCACCCTTTTGGACACAGGTCTCAATTTCCCCTCCCCACAATATTTTTATTTCTTTTGGCTTTGTGGGTTTCTTGTTCTTGCTGTTTTCTTAGTTTTCAAACTCTTACTCTTCTGTGTGTTTGTGTGTGTGTGTGTGTGTGTGGTTCAGAGCGGGCAACAAGGGGCGTGTTCGAGGAATTCTTGGCCCGGAATGGCAAAGTATTGGACAAGGAAAGGGAGGAGAAGAAGAGGTTAGGGATGACACTCAAGGACTCGGCAGCTTCGGTTGTTAAGGACTATCATCTCCCATTCACCCCTGATGAGTTTGTCCAACAAATCATCCCCATGTACCAGGAAAAGTAAGCGCTTTCGAATTATGTGCATATCTGTTGGCCTTGTGTTGCTCCCTGTGTGCTAAAGTTGTTTAATTGTGTACTTATAGGTGGAAGTATGCGAAAGCTCTTCCTGGTGCTAATCGCGTTATCAAACACTTCCATGACCACGGAGTACCCATGGCTCTTGCTTCAAACTCCTTACGGGAATACATAGAAGCAAAAATCTCTCACCATCGAGGTTTGTACAATTTTCTCATTGTTAACAATAACCAATGTTATTTCTCTCTGCTAAGCCTACATTTTGCAATAAAATGAAGAGGCATTGTGTTTCTGCGTTTTGTTCTACTTTCTTACTGTTATTTTCTTAATTTTGGTCTTTAAAAAAGGGCTGATTCAATCAATATTGAATCTACGGCTTCCGCACCAGTCAGGAAACTTATTATCGTAGATATTTACCTGGAAAAAGTGTTACACATTCGTTGTTTTATAAGTATTCCTTGATCCAATATTATATTCATAGTCATTATAGGGGCTGTTTGTAAAGATCGAGTAGATGTTCGTGCTATGCCACGGGGAAAATCAGTCAGTGTAAACAATGAAAATTATATCTCTCTCTGTGTTTCATGTTAAATTGTTCTATGTTGTCTATCGTTCTGCGTTATTCATTTTCTCATGCAAGTTTCTGTGTACTGTAATGGATGACCTGTGAATGCTCATGATTTTTATTAATCTGTTTACTTCATCTGTATATTATAGGTTGGAAGGAACTGTTTTCAGTAATTCTTGGCAGTGACCAGGTTAAAGCAGGGAAGCCCGCTCCAGATTTGTAAGTGAATTCATAGAAAATACAAGGCTCCCTTGAACACATACAAATCGAACTTTGTAAATCCCCATCCCTTTTCAACCTAAAACATTCAGAGGCCTGATCAATTTTCTGTCAAGAAGAAAACATCACCTCACATGCATTCTATTTTCCTTTTCGCTGATGCTAATACTGCTTTCCAAAATGTGTACAGATTTGAAGAGGCAGCGAAGCAAATGGGTGTGGATGCAGTTCATTGCCTAGTGATTGAAGACTCAGTGTAAGATCGGTCACAAACATATACATCTGAACTTAAATTTATTTCATTTTGATCAATATGTGTTTGGAGATATACACTGCTGATAAATTAAAGCCATCTTTTTTTAAGCATATGCTGCCAGGGTATTCATGTCTAGAATCAATATATTTTGAACAGGGTTGGTGTTAAAGCTGCCAAAGCTGCCGGAATGGAGGTAGTGGCTGTCCCATCCCGTGGTGAAGCTGCCGGTTGTTCTTCCCTTGCAGATACTGTGCTTCATTCTCTTTTGGAGTTTCAGCCCGAACATTGGGGTCTTCCTCAATTTGAAGACTGTACGTCTCACTTCATACTGTTTGTGTGTATTTGTCCATAGGGCCTTCCCCCCTTCCCTTTAAATATTTGCTTGATTGATTATTTCAGGGGTAGATAAGGCACTACCGATTGAACCAATTTATTTTAGTGGCCTCTATGCCAATGGGTTTGTCAGTGAAGTCACAGGTTGGTGAATTGTTTCATTCTTGCATGACGGAATGTATTTGTTCAATTTATTTGACTGATTAGGGAGTTTTAGTGAATGCACATCTTTATGGTTAAGATTTGTGCAAATTCGTATTCAATTTAATCCACAAGTCCACAATAATCAGAGGATGGAAGATCTGCTCTCCCCGACCAAGTCTGGGGAGTTTTCTTCGGTTGGGCTGTAGCTGATATGCAGAAGACCTACAGGGTAGTGGTTGCCATTGGATTCGATCGCAATAGTTCACCTAATAAAAACATTGTGAGTAATCTGTTTATTAATTTTGGTAATGGTATATGTTTAAAAAAACGAGCTTACCAATTGCCAGATTATAAAGACTGCAATTTGCTTTCTTCCAACGTACCGAAAACAAGTTATTTATGCATTGATCCCGTTAGTTCTATATTGATGAAGATCTTTTTATCCTTTGATGTAGCAAATGCACATAGTTGATGGAAACAATTGCTGTATATCCAATCAGCAAATGAAACTGCTACTTGTCGGCTACATCCGGGAATCAAATACCAAGGTAACGGCATAGTTTTAAAGATAAACTGAAACTGATGTGAAAGATAATACAGGAAATCATATAGCTTATGTACTGCTCTGTGTCACTTCTTGCGGAGTAGTGCCTGATGCCTCTTAACTTAAATTAATGAAACCGAACTCGTGATGTCTGAAAAATGTAATGTTCTTAAACATCTGTACTTGATCGTCATGTAACCAAAATCGTGATTCGTGCGTGTGTTGCAGGAAATTTCATCCATGGATGCAGAAGCACTCGAGGAATGTAAGTTGATTGCAAGCGCCTCGCTCGATCTGCCAATATTTAGTCGCCATGGTTGCGTGCCTTTGGTTCCACAATCTTTTTCTGTGGAAGACATGACTTCGAGTGATGAGATAGAACGATACTGAATTATCCAGACATGATTTTAGTGGTGGAAGTAAAACTGTTTTGCGTTTTGCCTTCGTTTTGTTTGCAATATTTGAAATGTGGCATGTACAAATACTAACTTTGATCCGCTGTATAATGGCCTCTAATATGATTTTCTTTTTGCTTTTTATTTTTATTTTATATTTTATATATATTTACCCTTGTAGAATTATTGTTGCCCAATGGCGTAGTAGCACTTGAGCGTTAACCGATTAGTAAGTTAATACAAGCCGGAGATAATTCCTTGTTTGATCACTACACAAATTAATCTTATAAACAAAACTGTTATTTATTTAGGTCATCATGCAAGATCATTTGTGTTTTGCATAAAACCACAAATCAAACATCGTTTAACATTTCAAAGTCTATCGAAAATATTGTGCTCGTCTATTTATTTGGTCGATGTTGGAGTAAAAGGATCCTTGTTGGATTATTTTCCTGGGAATCCAGGAGATCTCGTAATCATGTCTGTTGATCGTACATTGTGTGATTATGTTTTGTTAGGTACTATTTATATTTAATTTTAAATAAACGGACATCATTACGGGATTCCCGGATCCCTAGGAAAATGATTCAGCGAGAATCTATGTTTTTCATTTATTTTCAACTCTCGGTGCATATGACCGGCCAGTCGGTCGACCGGGTGGGATCCCCAATGGGCCCATGGGCTTCTGGGCCGAAAGATGAGTGAAAAATACAGAGAGAGAAGGGGATTGAAAGAAAACAATAAAATAATAATAAATGCGTAGGGAGTTGGACGTTGGAAACCATCCCCGTTAGCGCAAGCTGTTGACCATATTTCCCCGTCTTGTTCATCCCTCTGGCTTTCAGATTCTTCTGAACTTCTGATCTTCGGAGAGAGAGAGAGAGCTTCTGAGTCTTTGGCGTCTGGAATCCTCCAACTTTCAAGAGAAGAAGAAGAGATTTGATGGCGAACAGTAATCTTCCGAGAAGAATTATCAAGGTTCTCTTCTTATTCTAAACCCTACCATCTCTCTCTCTCTCTCTCTCTCTCTCTCTCTCTATATATATATATTGATTCAATAACTATTCTGTTCATCTTTCGTTTTTGGTGTCTGATTTGGCGTTTATGTGAATTACTTCTGAATTCTGATTCCTTTCTTTAGGAGACGCAGAGGCTTCTCAGCGAACCAGGTTTCTCTCTCTCTCTTTCTCTCTCTATATGTATAAGTTTTACTAATTAAATTTAAGTTATGGCATTAATTGAGGTATGGCGGCGGAATTTTGAGGCTTTATACTTTAATTGTTGTAATTATGGATAGTCGTCCCCTTTGGAAGTAGGTTTTAGCTTTAAGTTGAACAAGAAAAGTGCTTTTTTTTTTGGAAGGTCTCCTTTCCTGGTCTCCTCTTCTGTTTCCAGTTATGGGTTTTGCTTCTTTCAGTATGGGTTCAAATATTTTTAAAGGCCAAATCCGCTCACATGGTGCATTCATAAATTCGTTGATCCGCTGATATGGGAATTGGGATATACCATTTGCATTTTTTTGTGTTAAAGATTCCCGCTGACCTTATTTCATTTGATCCAACTGGTTATGCATCGGATATGTATGTTTGATTGTCAGAATGTGTTGGTGGTGTACTCGTGACTACTCGTAATCCCTTTCTGGAGCACAGTATGGCAAAGCACTTTTAAATTTACAGGCATATCTTGGCCTACTTTTCGATACACTACCTCGACCTTGTCGTCACCAAACGTCTATATATACGTTGATGAGTCTAGACCTGATGTGATATTATAAATTAAGCCTTCTAGTTTCGGGTTGTGAACTTTTGATGGATTGACATTGGAATTTTAAAGTTGGTTTTATGATTTTTCATCAAATTACTGATTTTATTTTGCAGCTCCTGGAATCAGTGCTTCTCCTGCAGAAGAAAACATGCGATATTTCAACGTAATGATTCTTGGCCCAGCTCAATCTCCATATGAAGGTGATTAGGCACTTCTTGTTTCTCTAATTTAGGATTTTGTGAAAGACCCTTCATCTTTTACTTCTACTTCATTGAGGCAAAAACTAAGAGTATGTTATACATCTATAGCTTCCTAATATTTTTTTTCTCTTTTCAAACTTTCAAACTTGAAATTTCTGCACATTATAAACTTTTAATATTATGTTTGTAATTCAATGGGAGATTATCACATGAAATGTAAGTGATTGCTACAAGACTAACCATCTTTACAACTTTTGATTTCATGAAAAGGTTTCTTTGGTTTGTTAGATTTTGGATTACATTTTTTTTCTGAAAAATAAGGCAGGGAAAGGATGGCAGGCCTAGTTTTCCCTCTTATTTTTCTGTCTTTTTTCTTCTATTTTAATCCTTTAGGAAAAAAAGTTAAGGGAAGGGATGTGCCAATTGATTCTAGAGGAAGAATGTCTTTCTTCTTTTGGTTCAAAAGGTTTATTGGCTATACAGCTGATACTTGTAAGGTGTACTTATAGACTAGCCAGAGATTATTATTCCTTTTGCCATTCTCTATGATTAGATTATCTATTCTTTTGCACCAATGTTTCTAAGATCATATTTTGGAACCTTCTGTAACATGTTATTGTATCTGTTCTCGAACATAGTGTAACATGTTACCGTATCTGTTCTCGAACATAGCCATTTATCACTTTATATCACCTCATGTTGGTATGCCATGTTCATACACTTCTATTTGTTTATTGACTTAGGTGGGGTTTTCAAGTTGGAATTGTTTTTGCCTGAAGAATATCCAATGGTACCTCCAAAGGTAAACGTGTAATTAGGTGTTAATTAATTGCATATTTTGAGATTTATGTTTTTATAGATGCGTACAATGGTACTTGTGGTAATTTTGAATCATTGGGTTCATATTGATTCATATGGTTGCCTAGTTTTGGAGGGGAAAACATTGTTAGTTTTTTTACTGGTTACCTTAGAAATTGCACAGGTTTTCAATTGTTTCAAACCTCTTTTATGTGATCTTATTCTTGATCCATGTCATTACATTTTATGTAAAGAATATTTTTGGACATGTTTGTCTGCCTGCTTTGGATTATTTACTTGTACTACCCTAGGTTCTAATACAAAGGCCACTGTTGGTGTGTGCACGCGTGCACGTGCATGCTTGTGTGTGTGTGTGTGTGTGTGTGTGACCATGCCTGTTCCAAGCACATAAGTTCGTCAGAAAAGTGCAGGTGTAGGCTTTTCTACGGGACATCAGGATCTTCAGAGTTTAGGGGTAGTTATTTTTGGGCTTTATGCAGTGCTGTTCTAGCTTATTAAGTTACTTGATTGAAACTGTTATTGTATATATCTTCTAAATATTCAGTTGCTGACTTTTAAAGCTTTGAGCCTATATTTTCTTTTAAAGAGGAAATTAGTTATGATTCCTTAAAGATATTTCTTTTTAATACTGTGTCACGTCACCATAGTCGCCGTGAAAATTCGAATGCTAATTAATCTCGTCTTATGTTTTTCTCTTCCCCACGAACAGGTCCGTTTCCTGACAAAAATATATCATCCTAACATTGACAAGGTAAGTGGCTTTCTCCTTTCACCCCTTTCCATTTTTTCACCTGAGTTTCTAGTAAGGTAAGAATTTATTTTGACAGCTTGGGAGGATATGCCTCGATATTCTGAAAGACAAATGGAGTCCAGCCCTTCAAATCCGAACAGTATTGCTGAGGTGACATATTGCATTCCCGCAACACAATTCTTCTTATATGTTCAAACAGTAGCTTATGCTTGATCGGAAAGAGAAAAACGAAAAATCTGCACAGCATTATGTTAGAATCTTTGCTAATAAATTAAGATATTGTCACTGCATTGTTATGGTCCTGAGTCATGATAAATATAAATGACTACTAACACAATATAGTACGTGTGATCAGCATTCAAGCACTTCTGAGTGCTCCAAATCCTGACGATCCGCTTTCTGAGAACATTGCAAAGCACTGGAAGACAAATGAAGAAGAAGCTGTTGAGACAGGTATTAAAAATTACGCACAACTGCTCTATTTGGTTAATCTTTGGATATTACGTCGTGTAGAGAGCTTAATTTTTTTTTTTTTTATTGCTTTAATTTCATCCTTTCATTTGCTCCATTTACTGACTACTAGTTCCAACTTTTAACATGCATTTAGGAATAGTTTTGTTAACTTTAGTAGTTATTTTTCCCTTGAATCATGCAGCAAAGGAGTGGACCCGTTTATACGCGAGTGGGGAATAATGCGGAGAAGTTATAAAATTTCAGTTTCTCGATCGAATGTTGAACAGCATGTATGTGTTTGGTCTTAGAACTTAAGAACTATCAGACATGAAGATTTTCCAGCGCATCGGTCCATGTTGATAATCACTTTCATTCTCCTCATACTGCACCGTCGAAACTTATGATCACAAGGCGAATGTATCACATTTGCAAATAATTGAATCACGGAATATGTTCATCGTTGTTGCCCGTGTTGATTTGTATCTCAGTTGCACTGCCGCCGGCTCTGCTATTAACAGAATATGGTTTGCGATCCATCTCTGCCTCTCTTCTTTCAACAATTTGAAATTGATGGTGGGTTTGTGGCCTACGGGCAGTGGTTGTTGGGTATAGGGTATTGGGTTACGGTTTAGTGGGGAAAAACGAGGGTTGTTAATGAGGGAGAACGAGGCATGCTAGCGCTATGCACTAGCGTTGGGTTTTCTTGGGGAATTTCAATGATTGTGTGAGGGCAATATGGGTATGCAGAATGGATTTCTCGTCTCTTATTATCAAGAAATCCAATTCCTCTAAAATATGGAAATGAATTTCCAAATTTGTGTGGGTCCATCGTCCTTTTAATTCTTCAAATTTATAAATATAAGAATGGTTTGTGATCGGAATTCAATTTTTTATTTGAGTTAATCTCAGTTTACTATTTTAAAATTTCTTGGTTTTCAACATTTAATACATGAAGTTTTTTTCGTCTAGTTTGGTATCTAAAGTCTTAATTATGAGATACTTTCATACATCCGTTAAGTTTTCTGTCAGAACTTTCATTAATTGATGATGTGGTATCCATGTGGATAGTGACTGAACGTCACTTGTCATTAAGGGCTCATGTAAATATTTAAAAATTTAAAATGTAAAATTTAAAAAAAAAAAGTTAAATTTTTTTTATACCCTTTTCTAACCCTAGCTATGAGGCCCCAAAACATTTTTTTTTTTTTTTTTATCTGGGCCGCTCCTCACCCCTTCGACCCCGTCCTTCCCTCCCTTCACCAGCTGCTAAAACTTAATGTCAGTGTGGCTAGTGGCGGCGATGTGGGAGTGGACGGCCTTGAGGAGGCGTCGTTAGCAAAGAGGGTCATGGGGGTGAGGGGCGGCCAAGAAAAAAAAAATTGTTTTGGGCCCTGATAGCTAGGGTTAGAAGAAGGGATAAAAAAAAATTTAATTTTTAATATTTACGTGATCCATAATGACACATGGTGCCTAATCACGTCATCAATTAACGGAGGTTCTGATGGAAAAATTAACGGATGTATGAAATTGTCCCATAATTGAGACTTTAGGTACCAAACTAGGATGAAAAAAACTTTTTGTACCAAATGTTGAAAACCAAGAAACTTAAAAGTAGTAAACTAAGATTAACCTTTCTTATTTTGATTTCTAGCACTAAGCATGCTGTAAGAGAGCCTAAACTACAAACTAGGGGTGGCCACGAGTCGGGTTGGATATTACAAATACGATCGTTGGAACCGGACCTAACTCGGCCCATTTGAAACGGGCCAGGTCCACGAGTCCTAACCGGACCACCACTTTCTTGCCTTTTGAGCAACCGTTTTGTGTTGTGGCAGCGGATGCTGTAGCATTAGTCCCTGAGGCTGAGTCCAATCGGTGTCCTAAACTAGAAGAGCAGCTCCCACCACCACCTGTGGCTGCGTCGCTCGAAATCAAACACGAAGAGGCCTGCAACTGCTCATCTCCACCGCCAACTCTCCAGATCAGTAATCATTCACCTTACATTAGCTTCACATCGATAAAATCCAATGAATACCCAAATCGGAAAAAAAAAATTGAATTGCTAAAGAAATAAAATTGTAGAAGAAAAATGAAACAGCGGAAGTACTTTTGGAGGTCCATAGAGACGACGCCGAGTTTTGAATCAGCAAAGACACCACCCAATACCTGCTCGCCATTCAAATTTAATCCACCATTATAGAAAACCCCAAAATCAGTAACCTTAGGCCCTGAAACAACACAATAGACCCCAATCCCTAAATCAAAAAAACCTTAACCCAACCGAATCCCCAAATTCTGAAACCCTAGAATCAAACCAAATTATGATCCAAGGCCTTGAGATCATCCTCGGAGATCTTCTTGTCGGGCTTCGTGGCGTCAACATGTAGTTATTGGCGCAATCATCCTCAATCATGTGCTTGATGGTAGGCGACTCCAGCGCCATCGCCTGCTCAATCTCGAACGACTCGCCGTCCGAGCTCTTGAGGGTGATCTTCTTCGATGACGACGACATGGTTGGTGATGGTGATAACGATGGTCTCAATGATGACGGTGCTTTAAAAACTCGAAAGGGTTCGAGAGAGAGAAAGAGAAAGATTTGGTTTTTGGTTGTAGTGACAGTGACTGGTGAGACTTGAGAGGGGTGACTAGTGAGATTGGGTTGTTGCTCCAGTCCTCGTAGCGCCATCAATTGTCGATTGGGTTGCTAATAAGGCACTGGCTTTGGAGAGAGACTATGGGAGACGGAATCGAGTTCAAGGACTTGAGTGACAGAGTTGAGGTCGAGGACAAGGAAACCTAAAACTAACGGTTAAGATTGGATGGAGAGATGATCTCTTCAATCTTGTCCATCCATTTCAACTACAAACGGGCTGGTTCGGGTACCCGTGGTTCCTATACTTCGAGAACCAGCCCAAACCGAAAATTACAAAGGCCCGTCCCAGTTTCTCTTTTTCAAAATTAGGAACCGGCCTATACCCGTCTTGACCTACAGTTCCTATACCTGTTTGCCCACCCCTACCACAAACTACACTAGATTTCGTTTTTGAGATTTGGCTCTTTCCACTCCCCCGCCCAAAATTTCCACTTCTGTATTATTGGCATTTTGGCTCCAACACTTTTTGGTTAATTTTTCAACCCTTCTCTCTCACATTTTGTAATTTGCCAGTTGTCACAACAAAATCTGAATCTCTCCCTATTTGTCCCTCCCTCCCAAATCCCAATCTGTTTGGCGCATGAAAATTACACATTTTAGAATTTAGAATTAGAAACCACCGCCACCGCGCAAACTCAGAGCATTACAAATATGCCCACCACCAAACCCAACCCAACCATCCATTCTTCTCATTCAATACCAAACACTTTGTCTCTCAACTCTCTCAACGTGTTGGATTAATGGAGGCCACCACCATCGCCTGCCGTGACGGTGAGCACAACAACAAAGAGAACATCCCTCCAACTCCAACCCCATTCTCTGCAACTGCAACGGCAAAGCTGACCAACCCAGTTGCCGAAACCATGTCATCTTCCAATAAATGTATTAAAATGAGGCCGCTGAGGAGGAGGAAGCCTCTTGCAGATGTCACCAACCTGTACTCGTACAACAATTCGGTTCAATCGCCAAGCCTACCACCACTTTCCTTCCCTTCGTCCTCCGTCTCTGCATCCGCCTTGAATTCTCGGAAAAGAAAGTCAGCTGAGGATTTTAATTCCATTACAGTCGCCAGCTCCAACTCCAAATCTCTAAGGATGGGTTTCAGATAATTCCTTTTACGTGTTCCAGTTGTTTCTTCTTTTCTGGCTTCTATATATATATACTCAAATTGTCATACATACAAAGAAATCCATTTCGTCCTTTCTGTTTCGAATATTTTGTTCTTCTGTCCATTACACTAGCTGGTTAAATTCATCATGGTCATCCCAACGTTAGGGGTGTTCATGATCCAATCCAATCCACTTTGAAAAAGAAAAAGAATATCAAGGGCTATGGATGAGCAAGACGAAACCATTGTGTCCAAAATCTGATGCAATCGCACATTTTAGTTTACGTAAGAGAAGTGTTAATGACACTTTAAAAATTTCATTCTACATTTCTCACAAGTGTATTTTTCTTTCCAATTATAAAAAGTTTGGAGTGTAGAATAAAATTTTTAGAGTGCTAATAACAATTCCTTTACGTAAATGGAAACTTTTATTGCCTTGATTGGTTGCACAAGGGAACTTTAGGGGTGGCCAGCAATCCGAACGAGTATTCAAACTCTAGTGTTTGGTTTGGATTGAAAATTCTAATCTGTACGAAATTTTTTTATTCTAAGTCTGAACATTTCCGAAAAATTTAGATGACAATTGAAATACATTTATCTGATCCCAAATTTTATCATATTATTGTTACATTTATATATGCTTCATTATATTCGCATTTTGTATATTTAATCATATTATTATATATTAAAAATGAAAAGCATAATCATAGGTAATATTGTATTTTGTCTAATATAATTTTGTGTTGTAACGCATATAATTCGGCCCGTGCGCACCGGTAGCGAGCATAATCATATTTGACATTTGATTGCGGCGGCAAAACAAAAAGGGGAGCCAAATATTTGATTTGGGTGACATTTCCGTGTTGATTTGGCGGCTCCTTCCTTCCCCTCCCTCCCCGCCCAAAGTGAGTTTGTAATTTTGCACCATGGGAACATTAAAATTTAAAATTTGTGTAATAGACAGATATAAATATTAAAATTTAGGTGTTGTATTCAATTGATGATTTGAGAGATTTTAATATATTTATAAATTCATGGATTTTTATGAAGTTTAATTGATTTGTAGAGATTCCATATAAAATTTTAATTCAATTTCTTCGAAATCTCATGAGAAGATGTGAGATTTGTAGATGTTTAAAATACACTACGAAAACTCTCCAATTCCTTCTAATTCCTCAACTTTCTCAAATTCTTTAAAATCAATTTCTAGTTAAATACACCTGAAATGTTGTAAATTTTTTTAAAATCTTAATTGAATGCATCTGAATTTTTAAGGATTTTAATAAACTATCTTAAAATTATAATTGAATACACCTTGAATTTCAGAGAATCACTTAAAATCTTGATTGAATATCTCTAGATTCATTAAAAGAATTAAAATCTTTCAAAATCCCAATTGAATCAATCATTAATAAATAAAATGATAAACATTATCAACACTTCGAAAATAATGAAACAAAATGCACACTTTGTACCACTGCCAATTGCCGGATCGGTGGGGCCCGGGAAATTTCAAACTTTTTTCTTAACATTTGGAATTTGGCAGTTCAGATCTCCTCAATTACTAAAGTCAAAATATTCAAACACCAACCAAAATTTCAGTTTTAAAGCCCAAGAATAATTCAAACATCCCTCCAAATCCAAAATCCAATCCCATGGCACCCACAAATATTACAAATAGCTCACTCCCTTCCTTCCCTCGTCACAGCAACAAACAACAACACAAACTCATTAGTAATGGAGGAAGAGGAGGCCATTGCCATTGGTATTCACAACAACAAAGAGAACATCCCTCCTCCTCCCATTCCCACTCCGGCGGTAACCGCAAACCCCAAGCCAATGCCAGCTCGTGGAAATTGCAGATCGTCATCTTCCAAGAAGAAATTATGTGATGACAAGATGGGGTTGAGGAGGAAGTCTCTTGCTGATATAACCAATCTCTACAACGATTCACTTCCGTCTCATCTTCTGATCATCGCAACCGTTGCATTCTGTTCCGCTGTGTATGCACAAAATTCCAGGAAAAGAAAAGCAGTTGGGGTTCGGGACGAGGAGGTTCAAGCAGCCGCCGGCAGCTTCAACTCCAAGTCTCTGAGGATGGGTTTCCGATAATCTACTTTCCCCGTCTCTTTGTTTGTTACAAATTGCAGTTAATTGTCTGTTTCCAAATTTTTATAGGCCTTTGAATTTTGGGCTTAATTTCTAAATCCAAAGGAGCTTAGCTCACTGAAAAAAATTAATAGGAGCTTAAGTTAAAGCATTTGGGAGGGGGTTTGGATTCTAAATGCTAAACCTAGGAGTAGAGATGGTCTTCTGGATCAAATGATTGAAAACATTACTCACCAAGTTTTGTGTTGGAGAATAACTTATATGATATAGTTTTATCATTCAGTAACACTCCATGTCAATGAAAAAAGAGCATTTAAACAAAATTTACATAAGTTTTTATTTTATTGACAAAGAACATATCTTGATAGTATAATCATATCATGTAAATTTTTCTTTTTATGTTGAGATTTTCTTTGATATTTTCAATCTATTCAACACGATGATTGAAAATTAAAAGATGTAAATTGCACTATTTAAAATAAAAGCGTGCATTAATGAATCTTCCAAATTAAAAGGAAACCAGGAGACGCATAGATGCATTGGATTCAGTTTACCAAAATTACCACCACCACTAGCTAGGAAGGAATAAAGATAAAAAGACCCAAATACCCGTTAACATTACTTGACAAACACAACCTGTACCACTTCTGCCAGAAATTTCCAGAAATACCCCTATCCTTTCACGAGTACCACAGCTCTACCATTCCCGTCCCCAATTCCCGCCAACACGGTAAGTTCGTGCTGCGAAAAAAACAACTGAAACAAAAAAAAAAGCAGAATACCCAATTTCAGGCGCACCACACCAAAATTTATTTACTGAAACCAGAAAAGAAAAAAACAAAATAATTATATATAAGTTTAAAAATAACTAAGCAAAAAGCATGCACGCAAAGCGTGAGTCGCGAAAATTCAGTACCTGTGACGTCAGCACGATCCGTACGAAACAGAGTCCAAAGCAGCACGAGCGAAACCGGCGGCTACCGGCGATCGCTTCCTCTTCCTCTTCGTCACCAGTTTCTTCTGTGGATGAGCAGTCCCGGAAGCAGAGTTGGGAGCAGAAACGACGCCGTAGGGTCTGCAATCAAGGGCCAACGGCGGTGATTGTTGAGGTTGCAAGTACTGGACGACGTCGTGGCTGGGGCTCACAGGAGGAGCAGGGGCGGAGGTTGTGTGTTTCCATGAGCTTAGGGTTTCGACGGATGTGACGCAGCACTCCTTCCAGTTGAGGTCGGCGAGGTCGGCCACGACGTCCTCCAGGGTGGTGATCACAAACGGAGAGATGTAGTCTTTGAGCGTCGAGCGAGCCGGATCGACCAGCGGCAGCGAGCTCACGGCGTCGCTCAAACGTGCCTTGAGATTTCAAAATTGGGGAAAAAGCAGACGAAATGCGATGGATCAGGACTTGTTTGATTACCGAGAAAGTGTGAGAAAATAAAATTGGCCAATGCTTGAAGCAAATTTCAAATAAATATGAAAAATGTTTGGAAAAAAAGAAAAAAAAAAGAAAAGGAAATGCGATGGATTAGGATTTAGGACTTGTTTAGTTAGCGAGAAAGTATGAGAAAAATGGGCCAAGACTTGAAGCAAATTTCAACAAACTATGGAAAATTAAACTAGAAAACATCCTAGAGAGAAGAAACCATCACGATTCAAGGCATATACTATAATCGATAAAGATAACAATAGTTCGTTAGTTACGATATTTTCTCAGGGGCCAAACAGAAGGTAAGAATATGAAGGAATTTGAAATTTCACCTTGGGAACTTTGTAGATCTTCTTGTATCCGTGCATGGAAATGATCTGCAACACCGAAATTCCGAAAAGAAACTCGAATCAATCAATTTAGGAAGAGATTAAAAGAAAAAAAAATGTGAATAACTTAGACGATGAAGAAGAAGAAGAAGACGAACCTGATTGAGATGAGCGACGGTGAGATGGAGGTGGGAGTTGGATTGAATGAGGAGAAGGTAATCTTCTAGAGTCATCTTCTCGCTGTGGAAACTCGTCGTCTTCCTTTTGCTTGCACTCGAACTCGCACTCGCACTCGCACTCTCACTCACCATATCCATGTGCGCTCTGCTTCTGCTCTTTTGCAACAGGCTACTCTTCTGTTTGTATAGCGGTTGGGTTATCAATTTGTTTTTCTTTTCTTTTTCTTATTTTCTTAGGCTCATTGGGTGCTTTTGTACGAAATATATCAACTCTTTCACTACAATGCTTTTATTTTAGGATTGCAACGCAAGTTTTTATTGTATTTTTACACTATTGAATATTAAATAATTGCTAAACTTAAATTGAAACCTCACACTTAATTGAGAAAACAAAATTCAAGAAGAAACAGAGTAATTGAATGATGACGTGCACGAATTTGCTCCTATTTGAGGAAAAAAAAAAAAAAAAAACTTAATTTGATAGTCATAAATCACCCATGAAAACAATTTTGGGTTGACAAAAACAAAAGCTCCGGAAGGGTAAGATAGATACAAGGGAAAATTTGATTAATTTTGGTAGTAAATGGAGGCTGACAGCTGACTCATCCTCCTAGTATTGGAGAGATTTTTCAATGTGATCGTCACACGATATGGTACGTTACGTGTTCTCATATAAATGATGGTATATATGTGTTTGATGCGAAATATATTAAGCACACAAATTAAACCCTCTTCTGACAATTGTAGCAAAGTATGTAAGTAGGGATCGTTCAAAACCGGGGATTAGGAGGGATTGCTAAACTCTTGAAAACTGACCTAAGAACTCCAAAACAAAGTTAAAAACACTAATTTGGACTCAAAGAATGAAAAACCAAAGTTAAAACACTAAAACAAAACAAAAACTCAAAACAGCAACTAGAAGACTCAAAACTGCCTAAAAACCACTTTCTGGGCAGTTTTGAGCACCTACACTAATTTGGACGAAATTGGTTGAAAACTTGACTCAAAACACTTAAAAACATGAACCAAAACAATTTCTAACTAAATTGAGACTTCAAAGTAAAGGGGGATTTGATTTGGACGAAATTAAAGTTGAGAAAACAGATTGCAAAGTAAAACTGATTTTGAAACGTTTTTGGGGTTTTTAATGGATGATGGACTAGTTAGGGGTTCTTTCTCCACACATGACAAGTATGCAAATGACTCGATTTCCAGTTATTCCTTCATAGAATTATGAATGACAATGCCCCAAATTAACCGTGACATCACTAGTTAATTCTCAAGTTTTCCTTGTGTTATTGAATTGGATGACATCATACGACAACCCAAAGCATTCTTCAAAAGTTCCTTACATGACATCATAATAAAGATACAATCAAAGATCATTACGTTCAATGAAAACTATAAGCATTGACAAAGCACTTGTGACTATGACATCATGACACTTATGCTAGGAATTGAACTTAACGCGATTGTGACTAGCAACCTTCACTACTTGTGAATATAAGTGTGTGACAATTATGTGAAACAAACTTATATTCTAGCATCATATTCATGCAAGCCAATTAAGTGTCGACCCCTAATTAACAAACACAAATATGTTATTACTCGCACAGTTAAGCCAATTGCATTCACGATTCAAGAACTCATAACTGGAATTTATCAAATCATCTTGCACACATAGTTATGGCTTCGAAATCACCCCTAACCAATAGGGGTTTAGCCACTCATGTTCATAGCAAATGAAAGGAAAATAAATTAAACATTGAAATCATAAAACGAATTACACCTAGAATGCACCAACGACGAAGCTTGAGCATCCAAGAGTCCTTCCTTCTTTCTCCTTGCTATGGCACAAAGGTGGAAAGGATGGTTGGGATGTGTTTTAGGATCAGGGATTATGGAATTGGATGGAGGATAGGCACGGCAAGGTGTAGTGTTTGGTTGGAATTGTGTTTCTAGGATTTTAGGATGTGTAGAGTGGTGTGGCTAGATGAATGGACGAAAATTGGGTGAATGAGTGATCCCCTTAGTGCCTTGCTACAAAGCCTTATTTATAGGGCTAGGAAAGGTTTAGAACTTAGTTGAAACCAAAAGGTTTTGTACCAGAAATTCTATACATGAAACACTTAAAGGATATATGTGTGTAGCTTGGACAAGGTAGGACGGCTTGGACAAGGTAGGAGACAAGATAGGACGGCTAGGAGACAAGCTAGGACGGCTAGGAGACAAGCTAGGACGGCTAGTGACAAGCTAGGACGGCTAGTGACAAGCTAGGACGGCTAGGAGACAAGGTAGGACGGCTAGTGACAAGCTAGGACGGCTAGGAGACAAGGTAGGACGGCTAGGAGACAAGGTAGGACGGCTAGTGACAAGCTAGGATGGCTTGTTCTTCCAATACAGAAATTAGGCACCATGTGTGAATAGATAAAGCCTTCTAGAAATAAGGTTTTTAGGCCCCCTTGCAGCTCCCTAACTGAATTCAAGCCTTCAAATTCGTCCATCCTCATGCCTCCATGCTTGCACTATCCAATCTTGGCCCAAAAATGCTCTAGAATGCTCCAAATTGCTTCTTTTTGCATACTTTGACACTAAAACCTGAAATTACACGAAAATGACTTTAAACACTAAACTAACTAAGGAAAAACAACATAAATGCATGAGAACAAGCCAATTAAGTCGCATAAAAATGCTCCTATCAGTGTTAAAAGGTTAATAATTGGAAAATTAAAGTTTTTCACCACTTATATAAAAACACGTGATGTACCATCCGTGTTTCCGTCATAACTAAAAATTTCTCCTAGTATTGAATGTTTGCTGAGGTGGAACTACGATCAACGAGAAAATTGCAATAAAAATGGGTTATTCATAAGATAGATTATGATGTTTTAAACCAACTTCTTTATCTCGATTTTTGGTTTTCAGCTCTTTTTTTTTTTTTAAAACCGAAAATTAAAAGTAGTTATTTTATAAGATTTCAGTTTTCAGATTTTAAATAAATCAAAACAAAGCCGCAAATCAATAGTGGTGGTCGACGGCTTCTATGCTTCGTCTAGAGACCTTCGACGGCTGGGGAGCAACTACAGTTGTTATAGATGCTTAGAACTTTTCCTGTTTTGTGGTTTGTGTGTGCTGGGCTCCAAAGTAGATTTTGGGCTTGTTTTGTGTGTTGTTGGGGTTCATGTTGTTCTTTGTAGGGATGAGCAACGAATATAGTGAATAGGTAACCACGGTTATTTATTCATAATCGTTTATATTCATACTCGCATAACCGTTTACCCATTAGGTAATTGCATAAACGATTATACTCATACCCATAACCGTTTATAAACAGTTAACCATACCCATAATCGTTTACCCATTTAACAATAATTATTTATCCGTTTACCCGTATTTAAATCTATTTATCATTTTTTTACCCGTTTACCTATTTTTTCACCCATCTACATGTTTTTTATTTAACAACTTAAAAATTACAAAAGAAAAATTTGTCATAATTTTCATTTTCTAACAATTAAACATCATTATAGGTACATTTTAACATGCATTTCTCTATTTTAATCATTTCAATCCTTATAAAATTCGAATAATTGAAATAATATTTTACGAAAAATATTTTTCTACTGCACCCAACAAACGCCGGGAACGGAAGTGTAGGGCTCCAAATAATCGGGTCGGGTACTTTCCGGAACTTTCCTATTCGATCTTCCTCTCTCCACCGCTATAAAAACGAACGCTCACTGCGCTGCTTCCTCTTTCATTTTTCTCTCTGCAAACTCCAGAATTTTAAATAACACAAACCCTGTAATTTCCAATATAAAAAGAAAAAACATAATAACTTACATAATTCACACACAAAGAATGCAATTTTTTTTTTTTTTTTTATACTGAAATTGGGCCGGAAACCTTACAATTATTGATAATTTTTTTCCACCCAATACCAGTTATCAATTCTAACAAAACGCTAAATCCTATTTTTTATTATTCAAGCACTTCACTGATGACATTTATTATACACACACACATGCATACCCAAAGCGGAGGTCGAAGCTTGGGCTTCGCTTCCCATGACGGAGGAAGAGGTGGATCTTCATATAGAAAATTACCTGATGAATCGGAGAATCATGGAATCAAGTCATATGGGATCTTGTTGATTTAATAGAGAAAAAGATCAGTGACTGGGTTCATGAAATGAGAAAATAGCTGAGAGAAAATTAATATCAGATCCGTAGAATCTTGTAGAAACTGTACAAAAGCTCCCTCTCTTCATCTGCAATGAAACAAACCAAATAAACGGAGCAACGTTTGCCGTAAGGGTTAAATTGGAAATTCGTGCTTGGGCCAATCTTTCTTGGACTCATTTACAGTTGGGTTTTGTCCTAATCATTAAATAAAACTATATATACGATGGTTTTTTAATTAAGATTCAAAGTTTTGAAATCCTTATCATTAATTTTCTTAAAAAAATATTTAGAAGACAATTCAAATGAAAAAGGCGAAATATATATATATATATATATATATATATGGAGCAACATACTAGGCCGCAGACCCAGCATATCGCCCCTCGGCCCAAAGCATGCGCCTCCATTTCCCTTGCCAGATAGCCAGGCCCGCAGGCCCATCTTCCTTCTCCAAATGACGCAAGGCGCAGGACCGCAGGTGGGCCTCCCACTTCTCTCCAACGGCCTGTCTATCACGCGATGATCTCGAGAGCAGATATGAAATATTGTAGCAATGATTTTTTAACTAAAAATTCATTACCATTGGTCTCTTACCTCATCAAAATGTGTAGCTATAGTCCTTTTTGTCAACTTCGTAAAAAAATTGTCAAAATAAGTTATGTTGGAAGGACCATTGCTACAATCAGAGTCTCTCAACTCATCAAAACGTGTAGCTATAGTCTTTTTCGTCAACTTTGTCACAATTTTGTGAAATAAGTTATGTTGAAGGGACCATTGCTCCAATTGGGTTAAAGTTGAGGGACCATTGCTCCAATTGGATTAAAGTTGAGGGACCAATGATAATGAATTTTTAGTTGAGGGACCATTGTTGCACATTTCGATGAGTTGAGGGACCCATGCTAATGAATTTTTAGTTAAGGAACCATTGCTCCAATTAAATTAAAGTTAAGGGATCATTACTAAATATAATCGATCAACATAACAATAGTTCATTAGTTTTAATATT